TGACTTGGCTTTGCAGCTGAAGAGATGAATGTTTCATTTTTCATTTCAGGTCCTGCCCAGAAATTCTACTGGAAAACTCCCAAGAAGTTAGTTCAGAATTTCTACCTGGGATTAGCTTCAGGTTGAGAATAGGACTTCCCATCTTGTGCCAGGAAAGCCATTGTGAATTGGGCATCCACCTGAACCCAAGAAAGCTGAAACATACAGTAACAGTACGAGTGTGCAAGAATGGCATTTTTTCCCAAATTATTAAGCAAGTAGGCCTCCTTCAAATGATTGTGGGAGAATATTCAGCTGGTTGCACACAAGCTCATTTCTGAAGGGCATTTTCTTTTAAATCCTAAAGTTGTTTGAAATCATTTTTAATCCCTTGAACACGTCATCGTATTAAGTGATGTTTTTTCAACATATGTAGGCAATCTAAATTGATTGTGGATCTGATGTCTTGATTTTCATCTCTGTTTACCACACCATTCAGTCCTTTCCTCTTTCATTTTTAAGATTGGTTTTTTAATAGCCCATAACCCTCTTAAAATGTCAATTTGTTCAGTTAACTGTTATCAATGAGATAAGCACACTTAGAAAATTACAGCCTTGCATCCCAGACTATTTCAAGCTATTCTTACTTTTTTTTCTTACTACAAAAAATAAACATTTTAAATAATATTTTAGTAATATGAATATTAAATATTTTAGGTTCTCATGCTAGCATCCAGTTAAGGGGGAAAAAAATTAATGAAAGCATCACTGACCATCTTTCTGAAAACTTTGTAAATGCTTTATAATTATATATCCATTTAAATTTGTAATTAATATTATCACTTTGAACTGCCTGTATTTTATTTTAGAGAAGCAATTCCCAAACTCACTAGCTTATTGACCCCTTCATGAAGTTTCATATTGTTCTTCAACTCCAAAACATTTATCAATATGAAAATAATTATTAAATACTACTTTAACTAATAGTACTATGAAGAAAAAGCAGCATAGAAACAACAATAGTCCCATTTATCCTTGGGGGTCAATATCGAGCACTTTGGGTAATCCTGTTTTAGACAATGTCCTTCAGCTTCCCATGTAATTAACCTTGTGGCATTTATGCTGCGTGGTCAGACAAATAAGTAGAGAAATGTATTTTAATCTAGTTTATATCCACAATAGTTTCAATACCTTTCAATAATCTAAGTTTTGCAAGTCATCCTTGCTTCCAGTATGTCTATACACCAGTTCATACATTGTCTTTTTTCTTCCATCTTCTTGCCTCTATTTGAAGATCTCAATTTTATGCATATTTGAGATGCTCAGGCTTCCCCTTCCTTTCCCTCTCCCTTCATGTATTTGTCCTGCAATTTGATCCTTTTTCATTCCAGGTGAGAAGCACCTGGACACATTTTTCAGCCTAGGAGCAAACATTTATCAGGGGCAATTTTCATAAACATATTGAGACTTCATAAATGAAAACAACAAATTACAAACATATTTAATATCCTAGATGTTACTCTTTATGTGTTGCTTTATAAAAGTTTTATAAAAGTTCCATTTTGCATAAATGTTACCTGCTCAGGTAACATTTAACCAAAATATAAATAAATAAAAATGCTGCTCATACTTCCTCCTCATCTGCTTCTAAGCTTTCTTGGCATTCTGTATCCCATAACCCACATGCCTTAATGTCTTTATTCCCTAGTCACCTGGCAAGACAGTGTAAGAGAATTGTTTTGATTGTCATTATCCAGAGACTTCACTGTAAAAATACAATAGTACCTCCTGTTAGTAAAGTGGGCCCCCAGTCTGTAGACTCGGTGCAGAAGGGGAAAAAATTGCATTGTCCTTCTCACACAAAGGGACTTCACAGATTCCCATACCTTCCTGTTTAAAAAATAAAACAAAACAGGAAGTATATTACCTCTATCACTAAGAAATACCTTGGAAAAATGGGCACTGTTACTCATTTCTTAAATAAAATTTATCAGATACCATCATGACATTTCTAGACCAAAATAGAAAGAATTCTTGGTGAAGTTTACACAATGGTTTACATTTAAATAGAGATTTCCTCCAAGTCAAATAGATATACCAAAGTGATTCCTTAAGTGCATTTATTGCTGCTTCAAACTTATCAGTGATAAAGTCCAAATTATACAACCATTTATCAGAAGTAGGACAAAAAGTCAAGGCTGGAGTAGCTCATATCATGAAACTTTAGTCACAATTCACACATAATTTGCCAATTCAGAGGACTTCAAAAAATGGTAGATTCAAAATGGTTCTGACTGCATTGTTCACATTGTTCTATTCTATTCACTCCTTCAACACAAAGTGTTATACTATAGTGTAAAACAGCTTTATCCAAAAAAAGGTAAATTCCTCAAATCGGATACAAAGGAGAACTACTGTGATCCATATGAGAACAGCAAACTGGCATAAGTGTTAGGATGGATAAAAATGTGAACAGAGATAACGGTGAAATCACATATTAGTGACAACTCTGTTCAGTTCATCTCTTCTCAGGCATACTGCTATAATATCGAAAATCATATTGTACCTTATTTAGTTGCTCTAAAGATTATGGTGTAATATATGTGAGAACAATATAGTACCTAGAAAATATTTTGAACTATAACCTTGGGCTGAATTGACTTGTAGTCTACTCGCCTAGGGGAATGAGTTGTCTTCAGTTTTAGGGAAAACACATAGAACTATTAAATAGTGTTACAAAGGGTTGAAATAAACAGATCAACAAAACCAGTGGTTGAAAAGTTTTTTAAAATTATTCGTCTCTTTGGTTGATCTGAAACCTCTCAATTCCTGCCTCAAAACCTCCATCTTTGGGGTCAGCAAAATAAGGACCTAGTTTCGATTAAATAATATTTTATCTACACTATCTTTGGTAGTAAATTTAACCTGGGCTGCCCTCATTAAATGCAATCATCAATGACAAAGGTCAAGATAAAGAATAGTAAATTATTAACCTTGGTAAAGATGGGTGATGTTAAATGGTAGCATTAATTATTTTGGTAGCTATCAACTTGCTACTTACTGGCAAGGATGATGATTTATTTAGCACTGTGTATGCAAACGAAGATAAATCAATAAGCTATTGTAAGGATAGCTTGTCCTAATATTGGTGTTAGCTATTACAGTGCCACTTTCTGTTTCCGGGTCAAGGGCTTATGGAAGACATCTTCTGAAGAAGCAGTCTACAGGGAGTCAGATTTGTCCTCCACTGCTTTAGCTCTCACATCACATGAAGCTGAATTTAGATTGCAACTCTAAAAGCATACTCTGAAGTTCTGGTGTTTCCCACAAAACTTGGAAAGATCTCCTGGGAGAACTTCTCAGGTCTCACACAGTACCAGTATTTGCAGAAGCAGACTTGCTCATCTTTGAAGCTGAGGAAATACACACTAGACAATTCTGTCCCAATTCTTTCTAATCATAAAGGAAAGAATTAAACCTGCCTAAAGTAGTCAGATGTTATTAAAAGCAGCAGCAGCAGCTGGGGACCCGATAGGTAACAAAAATTAAAACTTCAACCAGGGCAGAATGTAGCTGTACAGGTAGTAAAGGATGTCAGATATTTAATATATGTAACACCACTGCTTTGTGAGCTGCATTGGTTGCCGGTATGTTTTCAGGTATAATTCAAGGTTCTATTATCATATTCAGAGCCCTTCATAGCTTGAGGCCGGGTTACCTAAGAGACTGTCTTCTCCCAGGTGTTTCTACCCATCCAATTCAATCAGGCAGGTTGGGCATGCTGTGGTCCCATCAGCCAAGGAATTTTGACTGGCAGGAACCAAGAGACGTGCCTTCTCTGCCATAGCACCCCTGCCTTCTGGAATATTCTGTCTTCAAATATCAGCACAATCCTGGCCATCCTGACCTTTTACAAGGCTGTGAAGACTTGGTTATATGCCTGATTTTGGCCCTGAGCGGGTTAAGGGCCCATTTCCCGCCTGTATTAACATCCATAGTAACAGTTTTACTTGATGCCATATATTTTAATCATGTACTGTTTTAATTGTTTTTGTTGTTTTTATATTTTATGATGCATGCCGCCCATAATTACTTGTTGATATGAGCAGCTATAGAAATAAAATAAGTAAATAAAGTACGAAAGGAGCATTATTCCTAGCAATGTGTGTATTCCAAATTCTTTCTATATCACCTACAGACTTTGCATAACGATAAAATCCAAAGTAGTCTGCTGAACATCACACTTAGGACTATGATGTGGAAACCTTTGAAATCCCAGACCAGATTTGTCTATTTTATCTAGAGTCAGGTAGGAAGCATTTTTCCCACTTTGTGTTTCTGTGCAGGATACGGTGAAAATCAATGATTTTCAGAAATCTTCGATGATGGGAGAGAAAGGATACTATCATATTTGCAAATGACCCAAACATGGGGAGAAATACTAACACCTAAGAAGATAGGGGTTCAAAAGTATCTTGAAAAGTTTAACATTGGGCCTTTGCAACAAGATGCAATTCGGTGGTATTCAGGAAAAATTAGATGGACAGTTATAAGGTAGGAGATCTGTGGATCAACACAGCTGAGAGGGACTTCAGCCTAGTTCCTCCTAGTGCTAGTATAACACCTTAGTCACTACACCATTCTGACTCTTCTTTCTTATAGAAGTCAAAGGCTGCATATTAGAGAAAAACTGGGGCTACTGTTTTGGTCTCTCACATATGCAGTATATTTTAAATAGAATCATTTTAGCACCACACAACACCTCTTCAGGGTGCCAATTTTGTGACATTCCAATGTCAATTGGAAATGTCAATTTTGTGACATTCCAATAGTCACAAAAGCTAAAATAACGTATGTATACAGTCAGAATAGAGGCATATGTCTTCATGCTTTATGAGCTTACATCTTTTCCTCTTGAAAAAAAAAAGTATGTAGATTTTTAATCTTATCCTTATGGTAGTTTTTTTAGGTAACTACATAGTTCCAATGATGAGCACAAGAGGTCACTGCAACACTTTCCAGGCTGGCAACCAAGCTTTTAATGATTTGATTGATAATCAGGAAAAAAAAAACCCTATCAATGGTTAATATTTAACAGAATGTAAAATTAATGAACATCATTTACTACTAAACACACGCAAGTGCTTGCAGGTATAAGTGATTTTTAAAATATTTATTCTACAGGTGAGTTTATTAACTTTTTGTTACTATTATTCTTCAGTTTTCATTCAGTTGCTTCCAACTCAATGTGACTCAGGTTAGTTGAACTTGTAAGTTGTAGAGAACAGTAGTAAGAGGTAATCAGGTATGTTACCGTCTTGTTATCCAAATGGCTGCATGGAATGATAATGTATAACAACCAAATCAAACCAAATAAACTGAAACAAAAGTATTTTCCCCCTGGCATATGAACAATAAAAGGATTTTCAGAAATAACTAATCTGCATTTGTGTGGTTGATGCCACCACAAATATATGAGACTCTGCTTTACATGAGTCCATGATCTCTGTTCCTATTCAGGTAATCCTGACTTAAATGACCCTAATTGGGACCAGCAACACCATCACTAAATGATGTGATTCTTAAGTGAAACATCACATTGACTGTCCACTTATTGATGCAATTCTGGCAACCTCACTTGCTGTTGTTGAGAGAATTTTGTATGGTGTTTAGGTGAAGACCCATCTAAATGGAAATCCATTCTTGGAAGATATAAGGGATTGCCTCCATTTAAACTTCCCCCATCTAACTATGGTATCTTGCTGGCCATTTCTACCCTTTTGGTTGCCCACTTACCCACTACTGCCAGGTGCTCCATCCCCATGCATGCCACTATTGATTGGCTCCTTCTTTTGCAATGGTGCATTTGAGGCCTTTTTTTAACATGCCATATAGAGCCCCCTTTCATGAAAAGAAGTCCCAGCTGGCTCACAAAAGAAGAACCCAGTTAGTAGTGGTACACCTACCTGTGAGCCCACAGGACATTTCCAAGGGACCTCCTTCATATGAGGCCAAGGTGGTGAACCCAACTGAGGGGATGTAGACGAAGCTAACAAAAATTAGCTGGGGGCCGGCAGTGGCAATTGTAAATGTGCATGGGCCTTGATAACAAGGACTAAATTTGAATGGTCACTGCATGAATTATCATTAAATGAGAATTATTTATAAAGCAGTTATTGAAAGATAATCCTGTTTCTCAACCTACACCTGAAAGCAAAGATCAAGGTAACTGGGAATGAAACCTAATTCAGGCTTTTAATGAGCTCTGGAAGTCAGTACCTTTCTCCACTCTTCTCTCCACATATCTTAAGGAATGGTACAAAATACTCATCTTGGCTTAAAGGGGAATTAAAAAAAACATAAGAGTCTTTAGTTTAATAAATCAAATCAATGCATTTAAATGACAATATAGTTAGTATTGTTACATTTACATTCCACTTTTCCTTTTAAATGGAAATCGTGAGGGATTAATCAACAACAAATTTAGCTTTGTTTTGATAGAATAAGAAAAGGCGGCTATTCAGTTTATGAATCAGAAAAGAAGGGCACAAGACCAGTACATGTCACTCTAAGAAACTTGCAAAGCAGGCCGAAATTCATTCAGACCAACAAGATACACATGAAGTATAATTTGTTTATTTAAAGTTTTTTTTTTTTTTTAAACTTGTTAGTTGCAAAGATATGCAACTATGGATCTTAATACAAACAGGGGAGAAAAGCAACATCATATCAGGAAGATGGGTAGTAGTCTTCTCTCCATCCCACAACTCTGAACTGAAGGTGAACTGGGCCACAAACCTTACGGGGCCTATCTCTTAAGAATCCATTCTCTGCATCAGGTAAACAAGAACACAAAGAAGAGCCTGTTTTGCTGTTGGGAAGCAGAGGACTTAAGCTCCTTAACATTAGAAACTTCTGGAAAGAAGGAAGCATCATCAGAAGGTTCTGATCTGATTGCTCAGGAACAGTCAATGCCCTTACAAGAGACGACAAAGCAGCATACAGAATCAGGTATGGCTGGTTACAAGGAAAGCACACAACCTGGTTTTAGTAATATCATCTAGTTTCTGCTTCTACGTTGTTTTCAGATAGATTTTGTAACATACAGATTTTGAGCCTGATGTGGAGGATTTTGGTAAATTTGCTTTGCAGCCACTTTTTGGGTTCTTCTGGTAGTTGCCATCAATAAAATACTATGCGTCTGTCATGCCAAGTAAGAAAAAGTGTTGGCCAGACAGGAAAATCAGTTCATTCTACTCTCTCTTCTGGATCTGGTTTAAGCCAGCAACAAATGTCTGTCATAAATCTGCATCTGCAGTAGTCGTTTGAAGACAATTTGCTAGAGCAATCAGAAGTTTTTGTTCAGTCAACAGATCAGTTGGGCTGGGGAAGCTTCAAAAATAAATTGGAAGAAATGCTTCATATCTCACAAGAACACAACATTTCTCTGATCTTTGTGAAAGCAACCCTACTTTTAGGACTGGATGTTGCTGCTTTAAGAGTCACATAGAGTTGAGTCATTAAAATAGAAGTGCTTTTACCTACACGAATAGAAACTATAAGTTTTAAGGAAAAGCAAAGAAAGATTGTGCTTGCAGCAGATTGAGCTAAATTTCCCCTGATTTTTTTTGGAAATGTGCACAGCACTCCTAACCAATTCTCGAGGACTTGCATAAGGCTTTGCCTTCTCAGAAAGTTCTGCCTCAGTTCTGTCTTCTGTAGTCTATTCCATTCTCAGACAGGATGCTAGTTTGAACACAAACAATTGCACTTGTTAAGTTAAGCCTCAATCATAGAATGGGAGATTTCAGATTGGAGTCCTTGGCAAATGTTTACATAATTGAGAAGGATGAAATGAATGACAGATATGCACCACTTAATTAACTACCTCATTAAAATACACAGAGAGATAGGATCTTGAGCTAACAAGAGCAATTCTTGAGATTTTAAATCCCCCTTAGAGGGATCCATTATGGAGCAGACTATGAAGAAATATTCTTCCTATGTCCACTGTTGTTTGACCACAGGGATGGGGTTTGCACAGCATGCTAAGTGCAATGGACAAGGTTGGGATCAAACAGTGAATGAAGCCATTTCATTTTTTATTTAGTTGTAAGGTTTTTGCTGCAGTTCCATAACTTATCAGCAGGGGGAAGTACAACACTGAAGATAATTTAACAATAAACTGCAAATTTTCATGCAATTTTTTTTGGGTGATACAGCTTCCTGTGTCTTCCATCACTTTCAAAGTAAAATGAGTACTTCTACTTTGTTATGGCCACTCTGTTAAAGGGGGTGGGGTGGGACTTTTGGAGAGCAAAACATATGACTTGCTGCTCCTTCAATTTAAATAAATAAATAAAATGCTTCAATCTTAATGACTGAATGAGTTGGAAAAGATTTGGGAAAGATTTGGGGGAGGGTGTACAGAATGGTTACAAGGGGTAGGAAGATGTGCAGGGTTGGAGAAGAAGCAGGAAACACCACCAAGGCTGTTGTAAGAAGAAGTTAGTAGTGGGAAATGGAACAATGGGCGAAGGTGGGGGGAGACAACCCACACCTGGGCACCCACCACCCCCACCCCATGCCTTCTGCATTCTTGCATTTAATCTAAGGAATACATGGCTTGAGTCTTATCTCTTTGGGTGAGGACCTGCATTCCAGGTGTTACAATTATCTATTAGTAACAGAAAAGGGGAAAAGAAGATGTCGATCAGAAAGGTCGACAGTTCGGCGGCTCGAATCCCTAGTACAGGTCTCTTGTGTGAGCAGGGGGTTGGACTAGATGACCTCCAAAGTCCCTTCCAACTCTGTTACTGTTACTTACTTATGAACAATGAGAACAATTAATCAATGGGACAGCTTGCCTCCTGGAGTTGTGGGTGCTCCATCATGGAGGCTTTCGAAAATAGACTGGACAACCATTTGACAGGGATGGTATAAGGCCTCCTGTCTTGAACAAGGGATTGGACTAAAAGACCTCCAAGGTCTTCTTCCAGTCGTATGATTCTATGTTCTATGCCCCAAGCATGAAAATTTGTGGATAAAGTGCTGAAAAAATATCACCAAATATCACTAAGAAAGAATCTTATTGTGCAGGTACTTTTCTCCCCTCTCCATTCTGAAATTTACAAAGCATTGATTCATCTATCTATATACCACTAAAATTTATAGTATATAGCTTCATCTATCTATATACTACTCTTGTTCCCGTAACCTTTGACTAGGTGGAATGGCTCATCATAGGGCAACGTTTTTTGAACCAAGGTACCTCAAATGAGCTACCTTATAGAATGTATCCAAAAATCCAGGGTCTATGACTTCCAAGGAATTGAAATTTGGGAAAGTTTATAAAACATAATATAAAATGCCATAAAACGTTTCCTGTCGGTAACTCCGGATGTTTGACTGTGCTGTACAGTTCAATACGGGCTACTTTCAAGGCAGATACATCTCTAAATATATCCCTGAATTTTTAAGACCGGTTCAAGTACATTAAAAGCTGCACCATTGTTAAAGGCATTGAGGAACGAATGTGGTAAGGAAATATCTCTGAAACAATATTTCTGAATGTAGTAAGGAAATATATCTCTGAAACAACCCTAAGGGGTCATGGGTTCTCTAATAGAATCACAGAATGGTAGTTCTGAATGGACCCCAAGAATCTTCTAGTTCCGTGTTTCCCCATCTCAGCAATTTAAGATGTGTGGACTTCAACTCCCAGAATTCCCCAACCAACATGAGGTTAGGGTTGCTAAGATTGAGAAACAGTGATCTAGTCCAATCTCTGAAGGAAAGCCAATTGATTAGAAAGCCTGCTATAAAATGAGGAAAGCAAAAAAGGGGAAATTTGGTATGTGCATAATAAAAGTATGGCTCATACATTGGGTTAATCCACATTTGCTTCACCTATGGTTGGCTGAAAAACCTACACTGGAATGAACCACGGGTATACTAGTAAACCAAAATCAGTCTGCATTTTCAGCCTGTGGGCCATACATGGCCCGGCAAGCAGCCTTGAAGGTCCACTAGCCTTTTTTAAAAGGTCAATAAATTCACTGCCACCAAAAAATTACCATCATCATGAAGGACTTCCTGTTGCTTCCCCAAACAACACCTCCCGTGTGACACCTCTCCTGCACAAGCTGCACTGGCTCCCGGTGGTCTTCTGGGTGCGCTTCAAGGTTTTGGTCACCACCTTTAGAGCGCTCCATGGCTTAGGACCTGGTTATTTACGGGACCACCTACTACCACAAACAGCCTCCCACCAGCCGGTACGCTCTCATAGAGAGGGGCTCCTCCGGGTGCCGTCAGCCAAACAATGTCGACTGGCGGCCCCCAGGGGGAGGGCCTTCTCTGTGGGGGCACCTACTATCTGGAACGAGCTCCCTCCAGAGATACAGAGGATCCTGGATCTGCGCACTTACTCTTAAGACCCTCCTATTCCAGCAAGCCGGCCTGGCCTAATTTTCTCCCCCGTTTTAAAATTCTTTTAAATCGAAATTTTAATCTGTTTTAAATTATTGGGATTTTTATTTGTTTCGGGCTAAATTATTTAATCTGGTTTTAATTATGTTTCTAACTTTTGTATCTATGTATTTTATTTTGTGCCTGTTCACTGCCCTGAGTCCTTCGGGAGTAGGGCGGTATATAAATTTAATAAAAACAAACAAACAAAACAAAAACAAAAGACACACTGCCAAGTGCCTCCAGGCTTTAGTGATGCTGCCAATAACCAGCCTTGCTGCCACTCTGCTAGCTGATCGGTGCATCGGGTATTCCTATGCAGCCTGAAATTATTTTTAATTTATCAATGTGGTCCTTTCTTCTTCACAAGTTGTGCAGGCCTGCCATAAATTAGGGTTCACAAACTATAATGGCTGTATTTGTACATCATACTAAATTCTATGGGGATTCTTTTGATTTAGAGTCAGAGTAGCAGAAAATCTCTAGCGGAATGCAATCCAGGATTTTTTTCTGCACCACAAAAAGATGTAATAAAAATAAGGCATGATATATCCTTATTTGTGGTGGACTTGCAAACTATCCAATACATCTGCATTCATTGCACCAGGTGCCAAGTGTTTATCATAAATAACTGCTGCCTTTCTGATTCAAACAAAGGCAATGAGATGACCAGTGAGTAAATGAAAGTTACATCTCTTCTTCCTCCTCACTCGCGGGTCCATCTAGCTGGCTGGCTGCATGTTCAGCCTGTTCCTTCATATACTGGGCCTTTAGCTGCTCCAGTTCTCTCAGCTCAGCTTCCAGTTTTAATCTGTGAACTCCGCGTCGATTCTGAAGCAGCTTCATGGGAAACGGATTCATATCACCGAAGGCGATGCTCATCAGCTTTCTGGAAGAGGAGAACTACATGAGCCATACAAGAAATAGAAACCTAGTAACTCTGGCTGAACATACATTTGGGAGAGAAATATCCTTCTTCAAAATATAGCAGTTTTGCAAAAGTGCCGGTCCAAAGAGCAACATGTTTGTGCTGTTCTGCCAAAGGCCTCTCTTAGATCACACTAATTCAGATTTCCTGGGAAGCTTTCTTTATATGCAGTTAATTGAAACTAGACAAAAGCCTTGGTAGTACAGTGGTCTAAAGCACCCTGTTATTAAGACCAGCTGCCTGCAATTACTGCAGGTTCGAATCCCGCCAGGCTCAAGGTCGACTCAGCCTTCCATCCTTTCTAAGGTGGATAAATTGAGGACCCAGTTTGTGGGTGCAATAAGCTGACTTTGTATAAAATATACAAAAGGATGAAGGCTATTGCTTAGCGCATTGTAAGCCTCCCTGAGTCTCCGGAGAAGGGCGGCATATAAATAAATAAATAAATAAAAGCATCTGCAGCAAACTATGATGATGCCAAAGTGTCATCCGGATAATGACATTATCTCTCAAATGCTGTCATTATGTGCTTGCATCCTGACATGATGCAAGTATGCACAACGTGAAACTTGTGAGATGCCATCATACCGTCATCATTATTAATCCCCCTTTGCCACACCCTCAGAGACACCCATGATATTAGATTTGGTGGTCAATCAAATTAGGAAAACACTCAAAACCCATCAGTGAGTATATTGAAATGAGAAGGAAAAAGGACATTAACAAAGTCTATTTACTTGATTGGTGCTCAAGCATCCTTTTCACATCGTACAAGTAGAAGCCCCTTCCTTAGAGTTAGTGAGTTTGCCATCTGACCATTGTGTTTATTTCAAGACTTAGACAAACAACATGAGGAATTAGGACTGGTGTGGCTTAATAAAGAAACAGAGACTCGTTTTAGTCCAGGTGTCAGCCCGACAGCTTCCCATTTGCCTCAGCAATAAACTACCTGATCTGTGTTGGTTTTCCTGCACTGCCTTTGGCTTCTAAAAACATTCTTACCTGCCATCACAGATAGTTTTGGTGAAAAAACGAAGATATTGATAGAATTCCAGATTGTCCTGAATCTTCAATATTGCTTCTTCATTATATTTAAAAATTGCAAGTGCGTAACGGAATATCACCTGGGGCAAAAAGAAACTTGGTTGATTTCATGTAGTGTATTACTGGAAGGATGTAGTCACACCTGAATAATTTACAAAGATAGTAAAGATTCAATAAACATGTTAGGTGTCCAGAAAATTGGTCTAAAATTGTCTAGCTGCTGGGAAATATATGAAGACATTTAACCAACTTTGTGTATGAATATAACTTTCTTACCTTTGCACCTTCATAGAGGAAAGCATCCCAAACTCTGAAGAGGAGATCACTGACAAGACTATCGACAAAAACAACCAGGAACCAGTTAAAGGTCACTAAGGACAGGTCAATTTGAAGTTGATCCAAGTGTGCTGTCAGCCTGGGAAGCTTCTCTGATAAGATGTCTTTGAAAACTTTTTGATCTACCTGGATTTGGCAAAATAGCAATAGTGATAAGCACTTATGTTAGAAAGGCTATGGTCTCACAGGTTGATAATTCTTTTAGAGAGGAAGATCTATATGGAAAAATGAAGTCTTTTAGATACTCCTGTCTGGAACCATTTAAAGAATGTTTTAATATTATTTCCAGCACTTTGAAACAAACATACAGTCTTAAACTGTAGCTATTGCAATAAGATCAGCTATACTGCATGAGATCCATATACAGTATATGGTCAAAAGCCATAACTGTGAGAGGGATCTTGGACTCCTAGTGGACAATCGCTTAGATATGAGCCAATAGTGTGCAACAGCAGCCAAAAAAGCTAATGCAATCCTTGATTGCATAAACAGAGGGATAAAGTCACAATCATCAGAAGTATTAGTACCGCATTATAAAACCTTAGTAAGACCACATCTGGAATACTGCATCCAGTTTTGGTCACCATATTATAAAAAAAGATGCTGAGACTTTGGAAAGTGTGCAGAAAACAGCAACAAAGATGATTAGGGGCCTGGAGACTAAAACATATAAAGAATGGTTGCAGGAATTGAGTATGGCCAGTCTAGAGAAAAGAAGAACTGGGGTGACATGATAGCAGTGTTCCAATATTTGAGGGGCTTCCACAAAGAAGTGGGGGGTCAACCTATTTTCCAAAGCACCAGAAGGCAAGACAAGAAATAATGGATGGAAACTAATCAAGGAGAGAAGCAACCTAGAACTAAGGAAAAATTTCCTAACAGTGAGAACAATCTATCAGTGGAATGGCTTGCCTTCAGAAATTATGGGTGCTCCATTACTGGAAGCCTTTAAGAAGAGACTGGACAGCAACCTGTCTGAAATGGTATAGGGTCTCCTGTTTGAGCAGGGTGTTGGATTAGAAGACCTCCAAGGTCCCTTCCAACTCTATTATTCTGTATTCTGTAGATCCTTCCAATAGGTTCTGCTATAATATAAGCAATTCTCAAAATTACTTTTTCTCACAGTATAAAATTCTATAATTATCCTGTTCCTCAGCACAGAAGGGAGCCTCAGACTTACTTGCGAGCCTATTAATGTGTTGCTGTAGTAATCGTGAGGCATTAAATTATTTGTGATATGAACTAAGCACCAGAAAGCTTCTTCTTCCTCTTCTAGGATCAGCAAGGCAATGGCAGCCAGTCTAGGATGAGTAAGACACCATTATAACTAAAGCAGGTAAACATATTACACATTAGACCTGTGACACTTCAGATGGTCACAAATCTGAATTTTCAGTGTTGAAAATTACAGCAAAATGAAAATAACAACAAAAAACGCTAAAGACCCAGAGGGTTCTTTTAAAAACTTTGCTACATTTGAAACGAAGAAGTATACGAAACGTAAGTAGGCACCTGTTCAGCCCTTGGCAATAGCCGATGGTTGGATTTTGCCAGGAGAATGCAAGTAAAACTCTTCTGAGTTTGGGAATAAGCTTGGAAGTTGGTGACATAAAATGTCTATTGTTGGGCAGCGTGCGATGCAGATCCAGTTCAATTTGCTGGGAAGCTGGGTGCTCAGCATTTTCACACTTCTTGAGTAAATTGTGGTAATGACCAGCAGAGCGTATTTGCTTTAAGCGATGGCTGATAATCCACCTCCAAACCCTCTGGCGATGCACTGCTGGGACACCACACCGCAATAAGCTTTTTAACTCCGAGGAGGGAGTCAGTTCCCCAAGGTTATTCCATCGCTCAGAGAGAGGTTTCTCCGTGGTCTCCTTGTTCAGATTGGTGCATTTGATCTCCAGGGCCTGGATTTTGGCCAAGAGCTTCCAGTCTGCAGCTTCATATTCAGGAACTGTCATAAACCCGTAATCATCATATTGACTAAACAGTGGAAAGAACAGAATTAGGGAAATGACAAATTATTAGGCCACGCTGGGGATGAAAATGTGAATTGTCTTTAAGCATACTGTACAAACATTGTAACAATCTTAAAAAAATTGGAGGCAACTTTTGGAGATCTGGAGGGAAACCTAGCATTTGATAATTGCGCACTTCAAGAAAAATTAGTTAGACTAATGATTTACTTTTTTTTAGCTGTTACAATAACACGGACCAAAAAACTTTGAAAAAATAAGGTAAGTAAAGTGATCTACATTTATCTGCTGTTTGAATAACCAAGTGATGACCAGCAACTAAAGCTAAGTTATTTTACCTCAACTTAACCTATGTTATTGCAAAAACAGCATAAGGACACGTAGTGGGCCATCAGTTGAAAGAATGAATCTGAAATTCTTGCTTCCAGCCACAGTGAGCCTGGTATAAATACAAACCATCCCATCTGACTCTTGTTACATCCTTAAACCCCCATAACTTTAATCTTAAAACTGTCTACTGTGGACCTCACCCCATTCCTAAGAGGTCTGTGAGGGGGCGTGCATAAGTGCACCAGCGTGCCTACCATCCCTGTCCTACTGTCTCCATTTATTTGTCCCCATTTCCTGTATTCATATCCATGTTTATACTTATACTGTATCTGTTATCTCATACATGTTTGACAAACTAAATAAATAAATCTGCAGACTCTTGTCGCTTTCATTAGAATGCTGGAAGTAGTATTGTGGCACTGGAAGCTCCTCCCCTTTTGGTGGGGTGTGCAATGTTACAACACAGGCTTTTTGCTTTTTTCCCCACCCCACTGAAGATATCACTGATCCACTCCATAGGCATGCCATGCCTCTTTCACAAATGGTCCTATTAGTAATTTACTTGATTGGGCTTAGCTGAATAGGAATCAGGGTTTCTTCCTTCATATCCCATTGCAGTGCCTCTTCAATGAGTCCCGTCACCAATGCCATGTGTTCTTTAGCCAAATCTGGCAGCCCCTGCAGCGTCCGTAGAGACATCAGGTACTTGCTTTCAATCTGGCAATTGTGGGCTTGCAGTTGAGCACACTGCCACACGAAAAGAAAAAATGGTTGTCAAAATAAAGGATTGTTCCATCTGCCTCTTGGATTCATTCTGAATGCATTCTGATTTTTAAGTTTATTTAAAAAAAAAAAAAGAATAAAGCAACCATCTACAGATTAAAGTAGGGAGTTTTGAAATCAATTGTTTGAGACAGGAATCTGATCTTGTTAGTATAAATTCATATGTCCTGTAGTTCATTTGACCTGTATATACCGTATTTTTCGGAATATAAGACGCACTTCCCCCCTCCCAAAAGAGGGTGAAAATTTGCCTCCTTGCAGCAAACAGCCCGTTTCAGCTTCAGTTTCAGAACAGCCTGATTAGCACAAGCAGCTGTTTGTCCATTGGATCGGCCTCCCGACCATCAGCTAATTTCAGGCTGCAGGAATTGCCATTGCCTATTGCCGTCTCCGCGCACCCCATTTTTGGCCTCCACTGTTTGCTTTGCTGCAAGTAGGCAAATTGCTGAGAGGCAGAGGCAGATTTTTTTTTCTTGTTTTCCTGCCCAAAAAAGGTAGGTGCATCTTATAGTCCGGAGCGTCTTATACTCCAAAAAATACAGTAGTATAGTATGTAAAGGTAAAGGATTCCCCTGTCAAGTTTGACTCTAGGGAGTGGTGCTTATTTCCCTTTCCTAGCTGAGGGAGCCAACGTTATCCGAAGAAATTTCTGTGGTCATGTGGCCAGCATGACTATATGTCAAGGGGCACAGAACAGTGTTAATTTCCCACCAAAGTGGCATTTCTCTACTTGCGTTTGCATGCTTTCAAACTGCTAGGTGGGCAGCAGCTGGGGCAAGAACAGGGGCTCACCCCATCCCGCGGCACTTAAGTCTCGAACTGCCAAACTTCCAGTTGACAAGCCCAGCTGCTAGGCCATTGCACCCTTCGCCTATATGTTGTTTTGCATATTTATTAGATGGGGATTTTTTCCCCCATTAGTGTTGTCACTGCAAGAAATCTGCAATTCTGTTAACTTTTTCTGAATTGGGATTTCATGATATTTTTGAAGGGAAGTGATTTTAAGACCGTTGGAGATGAATACATGGAAGGTATTGCAAAGAACACTGACACAGCTCACTGCTGGTTTTGAGGCACTTTATATACTGTGGGAATTCAACAGGTATTGGTGCCAGTCAGCTTTAGAAATGGTGAAAAAAATTCTGCCCTTGTCATATTTTCCCAAAAAGTAACAACTGCAGTATGTTATTTTTTTCATAAGAATTTGGCTATCAGTCATTGAATTGGTAGTAACATTGGGTTAAATTAAGGATTCTCTCTTTTTCACTGATCATCCCATCTGCTAATCATCAAGGCTGCTTTTAACTGGATTGCCTCATTTTGGATGTGATGCTAGGGGCCTATTTAGATGAGAATTCATATTATCATCGAGTAGGAAGGGACCTTATAAATAATCAAGTCCAACCGCCTACTCAGTGAAGACTCCTTAGTCGTCTGTCAGACTATCTCAGATGACCATACAATCTCTATTTGAAGATGATAGCTCATACCATCAGTTTATGAGGCTAGGCATTTGATATGTGGACTATATTTATGCTTTAAACACATAATTATAGGGGGGGAAAAGGCATTAGCAGCTATCTACAGTTGGATGTTTCTTACCATCATGAAATTACTATACTCAAGTTTTATCTATTTCAGTCTCCATTGGGTTGTGCCTCTCAACCCAAGTTTGGTTCCTCTCAGAATTGCAATTTTTGTAAATTAAAAATGGAAAAACACTGAATTCACTGTTCTTTACAACTTGATGGTTTCCAGTTTACATTCACCTAGCTGTTAATATGATTTTTTCAAAAGGTGTGCTCTTTTTGAACACATCTTGTTTTGTGCTTATTTATGAATAAAAAGTAATGGCTTTTTAGCAGACTGCATCATTTATTGGTGACTATGTTACAACTGGAATCATTTGGATTAACTGTAGCAGCAATTTGATGGCAGGTTTATTTTGTCTATTTAGATCTAGGGAATCCTGAAATGTTGCAATCACACTGAACCAATCTATACATAAATGTGTTTGTGGGTAAAATATTTTTTTCCATATCTCTGAATTCACATATGAAAATTGAACCCACAGCTAGCCCAATAACCCAAAATTGGAGTGAAGCCAATCAAGTGGCCCTCCTCAAAATGCATCATGTGAACAATCATATTGCTCATGCTAGTGACATGAGAAATGAGCAAATAAAAAGAGTTCCCAAAGTTCCTGTGTTTGACAGACAAGTAGAAAACTTCCTATATATTTGAAAATCAAATTAAAAATGGAAGAAGAAAATCAAAACACCAATGTGAGTTACATAGCCTTGCTTCTTACCTTCATCAGAAGGTTTTTTTCTCTCTGTGCCACTGTGCTCCATATTTTGCTAACCTGGTGGACTTCGGAATTCAAAAATTGGTTCTGAGTCTTGTATGCCTCAAGATCATCCTGAGAAAAAGACAGGAAAAAGCATGTAAAGTAACCCTCACCCTAAAATGTGCATGAAATTAGGTATAAATTGATGATATCTCAACAAGGAAGGAAGGAAGGAAGGAAGGAAGGAAGGAAGGAAGGAAGGAAGGAAGGAAGGAAGGAAGGATCAGGCTCATTTTATTTCTGTATATGGTCACCCTTCCCTGGTTTTCCAAATTGATCAAGAACATTGGCCTAAAATGTAACATAAGTCTTCACCCTTCTAATGTCTGTGTAGACTTTGACAAATGTTACAGTCACATAGATAAATAGACCAATGATTTACAGTATATTAATCTGATTAGCCAATGGGAACTAAGCCCCATACAACTGAGGACTCAAGATAAATTGATAGATATTCATGTCATAGATACAGTTCAAAACCTTCTCTGGGTTAGGACCAATCAAAGAGGAACAGTCTAGTCTCACATTCTTAGATCATCAACAGGAAATCTTTTATGTGTACTGCTGCAGATATGCTAGACATCTATAATCTGTAAGGTTTTATCAGTTCATTTAAAATACTGTTTAAGACTTATTTCAAGAGGCTATGATGCAGATAGCCTTCGCTTACCAACTGCAATAGGTACTGGCAACTCCCATCTCTAAGCAAAGTAGCAAGGTCGTTAAGCACAATGTCATGTGACCACACTGACATCAGTTCTGTTAGTTTTGGCTGCAGCCGATAAGGCTATGCACTGCCCATGCTAACAAATATATAAAACTTAAATCTGCACATAATTGGTGCAAATTGTGGGCTTATCGTAGCTGTGCCACTTGCATGAAACTTACAAAGATCATTGTGCCATTTTCAATTACAGTACATGGATTATTTTATGTCAACAACGATGCATAATGTATCGTAATTTACATAAATTTGTTCTCTGTTTTTCATTTATATGGAAAAGCCAAGAACTTCTGGGTGCGATTCAAGGTGTTGGTTACAATCTTTAAAGCGCTCCATGGCTTAGGATCTGGGTACTTACGAGATCGCCTTCTGCTACCGATAGCCTCCCACCGACCAATACGCTCCCACAGAGAGGGACTCCTCAGGGTGCCGTCAGTCAAACAATGTTGACTGGCGACCCCCAGGGGGAAAGCCTTCTCTGTGGGGGCACCTGCCCTCTGGAATGAATTGCCCCCAGAGATACAGATGATCCCTGACCTACACGCCTTTCGCCAAGCCCTCAAGACGTTATTGTTCCAACAAGCTGGGCTGGCCTAAACATGAATTTTAATGGTTGTCTTAGTTTTTTTTAATAATATTGGGACCAAATTATTTAATATATTTTAAATTGTTTTTAAATTTTATGTAAATGTGTGTTTTATTGCTGGCTGTGCACTGCCCTGAGTCCCTTGGGAGAAGGGCAGTATAAAAATTTAAATAATAAATAATAAATAAATAAACTACAATTGCATCAGATTTTTATTGTCACGCAGGGAAATCTTAACTGAATGGCATCTCTGGCTTCCCAAAAATTAGGCAGTTATTGTCCATCCATTTGAAACATGTTTTCTCTATTGTAACTGTACTGTAAACTAAATATGAGTCAATAGTTTTTAGGAGGGGGAATCTGTTGCCCAACCCTGTTCTATTTTTAGAAGTGTCTACATATATATGCAACACACAAGCATATCATTGGCAAAACAATAAGTGTGAAATTGTGAAAGGCTATGTAGCCAAAACGCAACAATATTGTACTGATTATACAATTTGAGCCTAGTTGTGAATTCCTCTCAGAGTACCTTTAGGTGTTCAATCTTTTCCTGTTGCTTGTACAAGGTCTCGGTCATGATGCTGTCTGTAACAGAGTCGGGCAACTCTCTAGTGAGCTGTTCTGTTAGCTTGAGGATGACTTGTTGCTTTGCTTCGTTTTTGTCCATCAAGAGTTGCACATGTTCTCTCAGCTCCTTGAGGTGCTCCTCCTTCAAAGCAGCCTCCTGCTCCAGGTCTTTCTTTTCCATCTCTAGCACTTGAACCTGTTTGTTCAGCTCAGCAATCTGCCTCACTTTGTGGCGCACTAATTCCAGTCTGTCTTTTTCCGTATCTGTTACCAGATATCTGCAGGACTCTCGTTTCTCTTGCTGAGCTGCCTCCAGAGCTTTGTGGAGAAGTTTGACCAATTCCTGTAGGAGGAGAAAAAAAATGAAAGAATGAATCTATACCAAACTGGGTAGGAGCCATGGAAGCAATCCACCACTATATACTAGAAGTACAAAGAGAACAATGGGAAAGAAAGGATCTCCTGGTTTTCCATTTAGTGCTTCTTAGGTGCATCTAGTGGGTCATTGTATGAGGCAAAAGATTTGCTAGTTAAGCTTAGGCCAAATTCAGAATGTCTATTTTTATGTTCTCTTCCTCTCATGAAAACACATTATTTTGTAGTTCAACCCCCACAAAATAAGTCTTTAAGTACAGAAAGAAAAACATATATATAAAAGAAATAGGTCAAGATCTCCACACTTATGGGGCTAATGGCACAACTGAAATTTTGGCAACATGCGTTAAATACTCTGAAGAAAATGGCTGAAATGAAAATGGCTGAAGTGATAGGCACAGCCAAATCATTTAACAGGAAACAATTTTTTCCTAGCTACTCCTCTACCTTCCACAACACCCACTTTTATCTTTGTTTTTTTTCCCCCTGGGCAATTGGATAGATTGTCCTGTAAAGGACCAAAGCAAAGCAAAGCACCAAGCCCACAGGTTCCACCATTTTGTTTTCTAAAATGTTTCTGGGTCAATTTGGAGCCTGTATCATAGACACTGATGTAAATAAATGACATTTGAAGCTGATGCTTTGCAGAATGCTATCTTTTTTTCTTTGATTAAAAGAATATTTTTAAAAAAAAACAACTACATGTGGCAAGTAGTCTTGTGGATGCCAATCAAAGTACACTTAAAGATCATGTTGTGGACCTAGATATAGATGGATACAATGAATAGCTCTCCTGCAGACCTTCATCTAAAGTGAGGTGAGAAAAAAATCATGGTGGCAGATTTGCTTTCCAAGGAACTTGTCTCATTTAAAATGTTTTTCCATTCCGTCCTAAGACCATAAGTAAACTAATATAAAATAGCAAAGTAGCATATGTGCCATGCTGTGACAGGAAGATGGGGGAAAAAAGATATTGGCACCATCTCCACGGGATTTTGAGCATAATCCAGCCACAGCCATCACTGGAATGATGTAATGCTCATTGTTATTATTTTGGCACAACAATGACTGGATTATTCTAAAAGACACTATCAATCTCTAGTGGCCACAGACCTACCTCAAACAATTTTAGGATTTTAATTACAATGTCAAAAGATGGTACATCTGACTTGGTTACTATAGGTCTTCAGAACACAGACTGGAGTTCTCTGTTTCCTTGAATCATCTCAAGATAATACAGCTGATTCATAAGTTCCCTATAGCCACTGGGCTTGTGATGTTCATATGATGTATCCCAGAGAGCCACTTTGATGTGACTTGCTGTTACATTAAATAACAACTCTTAGGAAAATTAGTACAAATGTTGGGAATGTCCCATTTGTTATACAAGCAGCTCTTAGTGCAATTCTCTGAAAACAACATTGCATTTTCAGTTCTTTTTTTGTTGTTGTTGTTGGGAAAATGCAGGGGAGGAGTGGGGGGGGGAAATGAAAATGTCACAGTTATTGGGGTGTGCACAAAATTCAACTTTCTCTGTTTTTCTGAAAGGAAGATGAAGTTCCCCCTTCCCCCAAACTGTGTGAATTGAGAAGCTCTTCTTTGTTCCCCATAATTGGATGTTCCTGAAAGCAAGGGAATATTTCCTTAGATGTAGAGAAACCATATGGACAAACATCTGCCATCTAAACGCATCTCCATGAATAGGGACCTGGAGGCTAAAACAAGCAATGTCGACTGATGACCCCCAGGGGGGAGAGCCTTCTCTGTGGGGGCACCCGCCCTCTGGAACGAGCTACCCCCAGGAATACGACTGATCCCGGACCTCCGGACCTTCCGTCGAGCTTTGAAGACCTTCCTATTTCAGCAAGCTGGGCTGGCTTAAAATTTTAATGGGTTATTTTAAGGGTAATGGGTTTTAATTTTGGGGAAGCCAATTTGATTTAATTCTGTTTTAAATTATTTTAAATTTTATATTGTATGTATTTTAATTTTGGCTGTTCACCGCCCTGAGTCCTTCGGGAGAAGGGCAGTATACAAATTTAAACAATAAATAAATAAATAAAATAAAATAAAATAAAATAAAATAAAATAAAATAAAATAAAATAAAATAAAATAAAATAAAATAATAAAATAAATAAGAAAAATAGTTGTAAGAACTGGGCCTGGCTAGTGAAGAGAAGGACCAGGGATGACATGATAGCGGTGTTTCAATATTTGAGGTACCGTCATAGAGAGGAGGGGATCAGCCTATTTTCCAAAGCACCTGAAAGCCAGAAAAGGAACAATGGATGGAAACAGATCAAGGAAAGAGTTAACCTAGAAATAAAGAGAAGTTTTCTGACAGTGAGAAGAATCAACCAATAGAACGGCTTGCCCTCAGAACTTGTGGGTGCTCCATCACTGAGGCTTTTAAGAAGAAACTGGACAGCCACTTCTCGGAAATGGTATATGGTCTCCCGCTTGAGCAGGGGCTGGGCTAGATGTCCTACAAGGTCCCTTCCAACTCTGTTATTCTGTATTCTATTCTGTAGCAACCCACAGATTATCCAAGGACATTCCAGTGATTTCATTGATCCCATCTATATGACTTATCCATTCTCAGCTCCTTAGCCATTGCCAAGCATTATCATCTTTTTCCTGCCTGTCATTTATTCACATCAATGCCTAGAGCAGAGTTTCTCTATCTTGGCATCTTGAAGATGTGTAGACTTCAACTCGTACAATTCCCCAGTATGGCCTACACAGTATATGAATTCCTGCTTGCTGATAATTCCTTCACATTAGGCTATATTTATATCATGAATGAAGGCAGATATACATATCCCAGGATAATGTTGCAGGACCCAATCTGGGTCAGTCTCCAGGACCAGAGGTTTAGTCTTCCAAGCTTTCAGATTTGTGCTGGAGTTTATTCTCAGGGAACTTCTCTTTGGCAGAATGTGTGCTTTGGGCAATTCTATGTGTAGTATTTATATGGTGCCTGGCTGTGTGTGGTTTTTTACTTGTTAATTGCGGTGATTGGGAATTTATTTATATCAGAATTGGGATACTGGATCTTCTTTCCTACATGGAACACCTATTAGTCATCTCCAAGTATGTAACTAAATGACTTTTTCCCCCTCTCATTCTTTTAAGCATCCAGCTTTCATAGCTATACAATATTGGGAAAAAAGCTTTAACTATTCTGATGGATTTGGCCATTGCAATATGCTTTGTTGTTTTCATGATCTTGAATGTCACTTCCCTCATTGCTATGAGCAGTTATTGAAATAAATTGTTTACCACTTTATTGCTTCAAGAGAAATAGTGAAGTCACCAACCTCACTGCTTGACAGTACCTTTGTCTCCTTAATGTTTAACACTGTATTAACCTGGGCTTGTCACTCCAGTTTTATCATGGGTTCTTCTAAATCCTTACTTTCAGTTAATGGAGAGATTATTTGCAAACAGTAAGAACTTGATTTTTATGGATGTAATGCAGTGGATTTTGAATGTAACAGGACAAAATGTGGCTAAGGTTTCAGCTGCAAAATCTATTTTTGTCCAAAACAGTACTGATAACTGAGATCATTTATCATTTACCTAATTACCTACTTGACATTATTACATCATATGTTTTCTTGTATCTATTTATGTCATTTCTATAATTAGACAAATATGTACCGTAATCTCATGCACACCTAGTAATTAAGTCAAATGTGTAATCACACAAATGACGCAAATTACTTTCTACATGTTATCATTGTCCAACTCCCTGCTCAAGCAGGAGACCTTATATCATTTCAGACAAGAGGTTGTCCAATCTCTTCTTAAAAACCTCCAATGATGGAGCACCCACAACTTCTGGAGGAAAGTCATTCTACTGATTAATTGTTCCAAATGTCAGGAAATTTCTCCTTATTTCTAGTCTAGTTCTCTCCTTGATTAGTTTCCATCCATTGCTTCTTGTTTTGTCTTCAGGTGCTTTCAAGAATAGCTTGACTCCCTCTTCTTTGTGGCAGCCCCTGAGATTTTGGAACACTGCTATCATGTCATCCCTGGTTCTTCTTTTCATTAAACTAGACATACCGAGTTCCTACAACCGTTCTTCATACGTTTTAGTGTCTGATCCCCTAATCATCTTTGTTGCTGTTCTCTGCACTCTTTCTAGTTTTGAAGTTCTTTCTACTTTCTGAAGTTTTAAGCATATGTATTTAGGTATCAGTAGCAATAATAATGGTAATTTTATTTCATTGCAGAATTAGCCAATGTGCATTTTTTTCTATTTGCAGCCTTTTCCAAATTGTATTATGAGGGAATTAGCAAATCTAGTGAATAAAGCAGGACAGCTGAGCTGTGTGTAGGATTTTTAACATGTTTATAGCTATTTTATCTCTCCAATCTTTCTCTTTTGAAGGGTTAACATAAATTTAAAATTGCCTTCATTTTAGAATAATGCATTAATCATGTTGGTAATGTATGTGTGTGTGTGTGTGATTTACTACAATGTGTGAACCAAAGCAAACCATAGCATAGAATGCGGCACAGAGTCTAGTGAATTAATTCATTTTCTTAAAGCAAAATAATTATAGTATTTAATAAAAGCAGCAAAAGGATCAAGTTGGGACTTATATTGTAAAAGCTCCTTCCTTTTTTCCTTTATGAAATAATGAACAAGGGTGGTTTTCAGCAGTTTTGCAGGAAGTGTGTTACAACAGAAATTTTTGGCAGGGGAAGTACAGAATGCAATATCTTGCAAAGTTATGTTCTCTTTTAACATTAGGTTGAGCATGTTGGGCATCCAGCAATTTATTACAGGAACAAATCCCCCCCCCCTTTTTAGCCTTTTAAATTGTCAAATGGGTTTTAGTTTCAATCTTTTAAATTTTGAGCCACAGTTATATAATTCTTTTAAAAATTTTAAATTTTGTATTGGTATGTGTTTTAGTTCTGGCTGTGCGCCGCCCTGAGTCCACTAGGAGAAGGGCAGGATACAAATTGAATAAAAATAAATAAATAAAATAAGAAATCAACTCTGGTATTCCAGCAGTTTTTCTGTAAAGCTTCTAATATCTGAGATTGTTACTGGATTAAGGACATCAGGGAGGATGGCTGATTTTATGTATATATACACACACACACACGACAAAAGTTAATAAATAGCCTTAATCTGGGAGTTGTAATTATCTGGGAGTGAAAAGAGTCTATAGTGTTCCATTCAAACACAGAAGTCTAATAGTCTGATTAGAGAAAGGGCTATAATCTCATTTACTAATAACTGGAAACCCGTTTTGGACTTTTTGCTGAAGATAGGGTAAAAAAACTGAACTCGTGATTTATGGATTTGATGGTTAAAATGGAAAGAAAAGTTGATGTAATCTTAGAGAGAGATGGTAAAATATTAACTGGTGCTAAAAGGATTGGAAGATTTTTTAGAACCTTTTGTTCTCTTTTGCTTTTTTTCCAATTTTTTTTCTTTTTTCTTTCTTATTTATTCACTAAGTTTTATTTTCTTTATTTCTGGTCTAAAATTTGCAGTGTTTTTCTCTTGTTAAAATTTTCCTTAATAAAACTGAAACATTTTTTCCCTATGGAACATACTTTGGATGTAACATTTTTAGGGGGGAATGCTTTTATGGAGCATGAAAAATATTGTTGTAAAATAATGTTTCTTTCACAATGTCCTTCACCCCATCAATGTAATATTTTCATATTTCCTTCCCACAAGGTATACACAATTCATCCCATTACTGTTATGTTTCTAAACAACCCTCTCAGGTTGGTTACATTCAGAGTGACAGACCCATCATTATTTAGGAATAACTTTCTGACTAAGTTGGGATTTTAATTTGGATCTTTCCTCTCCTACCTAATTATATTGCAGTACCTAGCTACCATAAAAAGCTAACTAAGACATTATCCAATTAATATTTGAATGGAAGTCACCAGAAAACCGCAGGACTATAGGCCAGACTGGAAAGTTGAAAAAAATGCTACAAGAAGTTCCATTATCATTAAAAAGCTTAATAGAAATATCTGTGATTCACATGACCCAGAGCATATTTTACATACCCAGAGATAAAACATAAACTGATACAAAATACAAAAAACACAATATAGGCACAGGCATAAAATTGATAATGTAATGAGCATAGTATAAAAAAAGTAATTTAGACTAACTTAAGAGTAGTGTTCTATGACTCACAGAAATTATTTACCAGAAAAATACATCTAAATCTGGATTAGCTATCCAGGCCTGTCCAGGGGGCATATCCAGAATGTTCCTGCTGAAGGAAAACCTTTCAGCAAAGGGAGAGCTCCTTTATGGAGCACAGCTTGAAAGTTACACTAACTTCTCAAAGGTTGAATCTGTTTAGCACCCGTTGAGTACAGGTAGTACAGTTACAATAGGACTGAAAAAAGTGACTTGTCACACTTACAACCCGTGGTCACATGACCAGAATTTGGATGCTTGGCAACTGGCTCATATTTATGATGGTTTCAGTGTCCCGGGGTTATGTGATCACCTTTTGTGAGTCAATGGGGAAGCACAGATTCACTTAACAACCATGTTACTAACTTAACAACTGCAGTGATTCACTTAACAACCGTGGCAAGAAAGGTCGTAAAATAGGACAAAACTCAATAAATGTCTCAGCAACGGAAATTCTGGGCTCAATTATGGTCGTAAATTGAGGACTACCTATACTATTCTTCAATTGCCTCAAAGTGTTCCTACTAGTGTTCTTTTGTATGGAAACAGGCCCCCTTAAATTCCACTCAGCATGTGGTCTAACACAGAGTTGCCCAACCTTTCCAGCTTTGCAGACAGGCGGGGATGGGGGAGGAAGAGACAATGTTTCCACATGAGTGGTTGGCAAGCGCAGCTCCATTGTGTGATCATCTTTCACATGAACTTGATGCTCTAACAAATGGAGCACACATGCAAATGCTCACCCGCTGCTTGTGCAAGTGGGGATGTGTGTTCACTCGCACTCACCCACCGTTTCTGCAGCCAAGTTGTAAATACCTCATGGCTCACTAGTGGGCTTTGGACTAAAGGTTGGGGACCCCTGGTCTAACATCTCTTAAGTTTGGGTTCAAAGTTGCTATTCTGCCCACAGCTTTAGTCTCATTAATGCTAACTGATGCCCTTATCTTGAAATGGAAAAGGGGCTAGAGGAGAAGCTGGATGACTGTGGATTTTCTCCCACACATTAATAACAAACTGTGTAAAACAGATTGCCTCATTTCTTCTGGGTTTAGCTGCCCCCACCCCTTTTTATGTTACCTCAGCACTCGTCATGAAATATCAAAAAATATAATTTAACACAGTACATAAAATATACATACTATTAAGAAGAAATGACACTTCTTAATAATATACTTAAGTAATATACTACCTAAGTTTCTTTTATATTAAAAGTCAAACAACTTGCAGCCTGGATGATTAAATATATTTATCAATGAAAGGCGCCAGGTTTATTTGCTGGCTAGAACATGCCAGTCCAAGGATATTTTTCCAGAAACTTTTCCTGTTTAATTTTGCTTTCCATTTGCTAACAACCTGCATTGTCACTAGAAATGTACCAGGAAACAATTTCTAGTCCAACATTGTCTTATACATGGCTGGATACTTGATTTAAATCTTTTGGTTGATCTACACTAGATATATATTTTAAGGGGGGGCTTACCTTCTGAGATTTTACTTCCTCTGTAAGAATCAAAACTTGGTGCTGAAGAGAAGCTATTTTTCCCTGTTCTGCTCCTTCAATAAAATAATGAAAACTGCTGTTTGCTTTTTTGTATTTTCGGAGTGTTGATGGCGTTGGTCTCATTTTTGTGTCCTTCTGCATCTCTGCCATGACTGAAATGAAAACAAATGATAGAGAATAACCTTCTTGCACTGGAAGATCTCAGAATTATATTCTGAAAAATTAGCAAAACATTAATACGGTATCTGCTCTAGATAAGTCACAAGTTTTATGAGCAATCCTCTGCATGTTTATCAGGAAGTACATTAATAAATCAAATAAACCTTTATTACGGTCAAAGACCAGCATAAGAAGGGGAGGGTACAATAAATTTAAAATAAAAAAACAAAACAAACAAATCAAAAATACAATTACATTAAAAAATTAAAAAATATAACAACAAAAATCTAAAAAAAGAGTCTAAAAGGAGAGAAGTTAAAAACAATAAATGAGCATTAAAAACAAGATATACTAAATCTATGTAATACAAATAATTAAATGAATCAATTACAAAATAGGCAATAATAATGGTCTAAATGCTCATTAAAATCAGTTTGTGCTACAGGTCATCTTCTCTAAAGATTTTAAGTACTGCTGTGCAGAATGTGGCAACATTGTATAAAATTGTCTTGTGCACCCCAGGTCTTTTTGCAATAATGGCTAATTCAAATGTAGAATAGGCACTGGAGAAGTAAATGTTCTGTTCCAATGGCGCTTTTTCAAGAGGAACTGGACTTTCTGGTTTTTCTTTGAAGATGTTTTGCTTCTCATCCAAGAAGCTTCTTCAGCTGTGGATGAGAAGCGAAACGTTTTCAAAGAAAAACCAGAAAGTCCAGTTGTCTCTTGAAAAAGTACCTTTGGAACAACCATGACCTGGATGATTGAGAATCTCCGTAATAAATGTTCTGTCTACAAAGTGAAATAATTAATTTGCATTAGATCTAACCCTGTTATAAATCCCATTCAATTTAGTAGGATTTATTTTTAAGTAACATTCAGATTGTATAACTAGTTTTGTTTTTTGTTTTTGCTCATCTCCCACAGTTTGCCTTCATTGATTTGCTTCATAATACGATCACAAAATGTAACAGGAAATGTCTTTTATACATTAGCATAAAAGCAAAGTAAGTACCTGTATCCTCGGTTTCTCCTTTTAGGTGCTCTTCATCAGCAATAATTTCAAAATTATCCTCAAAATGACCACAGTCTCTTCGGTTCTGACGGCTGCCACACAGGTTATGCACTGTGTTTCTGAAAGAAGAAAATTGCATAGAAAAGCTAATGCTTAGATCTTCATTCTAGATCTCACTGTAGTGGTTAAAGCACATCTGGCTGCAGTTCTTCAGAGGATGTGTGGAAACTCATGTGACAGAATATACCTTCTAACTAACCCCAAAAATTCTCTGCAGACAGAAAAGCAGCATTCAAAAAAACAAAAACCACACTTCTCTCTGTTACACTGGGTTTCTCTGTGTAGTAAGGCTGGAAAATATCTGGGCTGCAAAATCCAACCAAGCCCCAGATGGCAACAGAGATATAGGACATCATAGTTGACCAGAAAATGCCAACTCTTTGCAATCGATTTGGAATCGACAGATTTTTGCAGCCAATATGTGGTATTTTAATGCCTAAAAATGTTTGCCTAGTAAAACACTAAATCATTATGAACTACTACCTGGTGTGAAGAGTTAAAATATTCAGCTATCAAAATGGTCACAAACTGAGAGCCAGTTTGGTCTAGTAGTGAAGGCATCAGATTACAAGCTAGGTAGGAAAATGTGAGTTTTACTCCTGTTTTAGGCATGAAACCTGGCTGGGTGACTTTGGGCCAATCACTTTCTCTCAGGCGATTACATCAGGCTCGGACGACAAGCTGGTCAGTCAATTCTTGTTGCAACCAATGTATCAGCACTTGTATGATCGAAAAAAGCAGCCCTACAATTGCAGGAAAATGCTAGAGAAAAAAATAGTTGCAAATGCCGGTTTGTTTAGCAAGATAGCAACTGTGGTTTGCTTTATGAGATCAAAGTACTATAGAATTTGCTAGGTCCAAAGTGTTTCCGTTTTCTCAATTTCATCTGATTTTAATACAAGACAGAGAAATAACAGTTATAGTAATTGGTGGTTAGGTTTAGCTGTTTAGGCTTAAACTCTACAAAGAGCTGAAGAATTAAGCAAGTGTACCCGTTTTATATTATTTCCTATAACTTATCTTTCATTCCTTGGCTGGTAAAAGAGAAGCTACTTTAAAAAATTTTCAGCAATATTTTTCATTTCTGAGATTGAAACCAAAAGTGATCATGTACTTTCAAACGCAGCATATCTTTACAATTGAAAGTATTGGAAAGCACTTTCTGCTCTCATTTATCAGTTCTTGATAAATAAAAGTGCTTGTTAACCTTGACAGGTACTCTGCAACTAGCATCTCACTCTGCTGTTCAAATATGGTATAAACAAATTTCAAATGAATCAATTATTATAAAATGGATATCTACATGGCTAATTTTGTGTATGACTGTCACAGGGGTGAAATCCAAATTTTTCCCCTACCCGTTCTGTGGGCGTGGCTTGGTGGGCGTGGCAGGGGAAGGATACTACAAAATCTCCATTCCCTCCCCTCCTGGGGGAAGGATATTGCAAAATCTCCATTCCCACCCCACTCTGGGGCCAGCCAGAAGTGGTATTTGCTGGTTCTCTGAACTACTCAAAATTTCCGCTATCGGTTCTCCAGAACCTGTTAGAACCTGCTGGATTTCACCCCTGGACTGTCAGTTTGGTCTAGTGGTTAAGGCACCAAGCTAGAAACTGAGAGACTGTGACATCTAGTCCTGCCTTAAGCACAAAGCCAACTAGGTGACCTTCAGCCAGTCCCACCTTCTCAGTCCTATGAAGCCAGCAAGGGCAACCCACTTCTAAAATCTTGCCACGAAAACTGCACAGACTTGTTCAGGCAGTTGTCAGGAGTCAAAAACGGACTTGAAGGCAAAAAAAAAAAAAAAAAAAAAAAAGCTTTATGGTGATCATTTTACCATATTACAGTACATCTATTGACAATGTAATTTAGTGGCAAATGAAATTTTAATTTGTATTGCTAGTCCATGTATGATATGCCATATGCTAAATAAATAAATAAGTGTCAAATCTCTTTGCATCTGGCAGATATTTGATTTAGTAGTCCTTTTACTCAACTGTAGGTTAAGTTACATGAGTTTACAGGTACTCCTTGAGTTATGACTGTAATGGAGGCTTGCCTATCACAATTGTAACTAGTGATAGCCACCTAAGTGCAGTCATGTGACTGCAGAATAGTGACCAAAGGAAGTTCTAACCTGGGTCATAAATACCCCCCAGACAGATCTGTTGTAATGTTGAATGGTCATAAGTGACAGAGTCATAAATCAAGGACCACCTTTAGAAATGGCATACTAGGCATAAATTGTTCACTACTACTGTGTTTCCCCGAAAATAAGACTGGGTCTTATTTTCTTCTGGGTCCCAAAATAGGCACTAGGGCTTATTTTCAGGGGATATCTCATTTTTTTCCCTATGTACAGGAGGCCCACTTCTTCTGCTTGCTCACAGTGGGGCAGGAGGCTGGCTGTGCTGGCTCTTAAGTAGGGCTTATTTTGGGGGTAGGGCTTATATTAGGCACATACATAAAAACCATGCTAGGGCTTATTTTCAGAGAAACAGGGTAGATGAGCGCTGAATCATGTCTTGTTTCATTTTACTCACATTAGAGAAGAAAGAACCCCTTAAAGTGCTTTAGGCTTAATGGTTCTCATTAGAGCGAGGTCATACATTTACCAATAATCTGAGTGAAAACTGAACAAAATTAAGGAAATCAGGATTTCTAAAACTCTATTGGCATCAGTTTGCATTTAATTCTATGCAAGAGCAACCATTTTATTTAAGTGTCCAATTTAAAAGAATTTCTAAGCTGATTATTTTCTTTAAAAAAACAAGATAAAGAGAAGAATTCAGTTTTAAAATAAATAAAATGTTTAAAAGCTTGTTGGTGTAGTGGTTACACTACAGGCTGGAACTTAAGAGCCTGGGTTCTAGTCTTGCCTTAAGCATGAAGACAGCTGGGTGACCTGGGGCTAGTCCCTTCTCTCTTAACCCTAGGAAGCTGGCCAGGGCAAACCACTTCCAAAATATTGCTAAGAAACCTGCAGGATTTGCCCAGGGAATCATCAGAAGTTAAAAAATGTGAATACCACATCATCTCTATCTAGGTCTTGCTAACAGAGGCACCAAAGTATGTCCTCCCTCTCCCCACTCAGCCAGTGGCTACTGTAGTCAGTTGAGAGGTGAATAATAGTGGATGGAGCCAGTCAAGACTGCACAGGGAAGAAAACTGAGTGACAGCTCACAGTTTATTTCTCTGCTATGGAATACATGACTATAGCCTTAGGACTGGGAATTCTATTCACAATTTCCAAAGGGCACCAAGTTCAGTAAGATGGCTACTTCAGCACAATATATTTAGCACGGTTATTTTTCTGGAATGCAAACAGATGAAATAGTTACTGAATTTCAATCCAAGGATGCTTGAGAGAGATGTTTTGAAGAGCAATAGAAGTCGGTGGTGCTGGTAGAGAAGCTGCCTTTATGCCAACTACATCAGTGGGTGTTTTCACTGGGGGTAAAAAATCCTGTTCTGCCTCAGCTGCAAAGGAAGAGATAAAGCTTAACAACTGGCAGTCAGGCAGGCAAAATCTACAGATCAGATGGCACAGCTATGGCATAGCTATATCCTGCAAGGCATCACAGTATTCTCAGCTGCCTCTTGAGCAAACATTGCCCTTTGACTTGTAACTACTTCTCCTTCAACTCTGTGTACACTGTATCTAAAGAGGCTTTGTGGGAAGGGGAAATCCTGCCACCAATCTTTATTCTACTAGGGAACAGATTGGGTAAAACCCAGTATTTTAAGAAGGTGAAGTCAATGTTGGCTAGTTCTCAGATTGTCTTAACTTCCTAAAATTAACTTGCATTTTTCTTTCAGCTGTTGACAAATTGGCTTGCTGCAGTTGGGCAACCTATGCTCAACTCTTGCCTAATGACAAGGCAGGGGCAAACCCATTCTTCTCTTACTTTGCCTCCAATAGCTGAAATACAGAAATTCCGTTTTGTTGATTACACTGACATTCTCACTTTCTACAAAAAGGGGCCTAACAGCTAACAACTGTAATAATTCAAAATTTAACAAAATACAGCACCAGAACTAAAGAACAGAAAATAGAAAAGAACAGAAAGCTGTAAACCAGTGATGAAAACTTCATTAATTCAAAGTTTATTACAACACATATGCAATATATATATATATGTATATGTATATGTATATGTATATGTATATATATTAGTCACATTTCTATGCCGCCCAACTCCCTAGGGACTCTGGGCGGCTTACAGCAAAAAAACAATGCGAACAATATCCCGTAAATTTTTTTTAAAAAGAACATTAAAAACCCATACACTCCATTCCATGGCCCGGTCTCGCAAGATTGCCGTAGCAAGATCAACGGCCCCAGGCCTGCCAGAAAAGCCAGGTCTTCACCGCTTTCTGGAAGGCCAATAGGGTGGGGGTGGTCCGGACCTCAGGAGGTAATTGGTTCCAGAGAGCCGGGGCAGCCACAGAGAAGGCCCTCCCCCGCGGGCCCGCCAACCGACATTGTTTAGCTGACTGGACCCGGAGGAGACCAATTTAGATCAGAATCCAAATTATAATCATTATCAAATGTTTCATCTAATGTTAAATCAGTTTCAGGGCACACCACATGAATTCAGTGTGTGATTTTATATATCTTCTTCCTTCAGTTTGGAAAGTTGGGAGTATATAGATTGGGCCAAGGCATATACATCTCCTGTGGCATTAACATCTATTTTAGAAAATGCATCCCTGTCAAGGAAGGCAGAATGCAGCTTGTTGATTGTGGGATATGGGACTGAGAAAGACTCCAGCTGTTTATTAGCAATAAACTGGGGACAAATTGAATTATGTTTTTAAAATGCTTTTTGCTTGATATATGGATCAAGATTGAAGGACAATGTTCAGGATGATGAACGAAGGGCCAATATTCAGAAGAGGAGAAAGCAGAGAAAAAGGCAGGCCAACAATAATAATTTTTGCAGCAAATATATGCATTTAGAATTCTTGAATGATGGAGTCCTGTAATATGTGGAATCAAACTGTAGCCAATGGTCATCTTGATCTCCATCAAGACAAGCATAAGTTTAATGAATTAGTAGCTACTGCTTGGTCTTCCATGCATTTAGAAGACTGCAGGACACGTTCCGCAATGTTATATTAATTCTTTTGTTTAATAATGTTGCTATGCTGAATTGATTACAGTATGAAACATATTGGGAGGGAGGGAGGGAGGGAGGGAGGGAGGGAGGGAGGGAGGGAAGGAAGGAAGGAAGGAAGGAAGGAAGGAAGGAAGGAAGGAAGGAAGGAAGGAAGGAAGGAAGGAAGTGATGTCACCGAAAGGGATGAAGCCATCTTTTTCAGAGTGAAATTAGGACCAAGATGCTTTGAAGGCAAAACATTCTCACTCTCTCTTCTAAAACAGTCCAAAGCCATATACTGATATTAAGCAGCACAATCTGGTGGCCTGATGGGGGATCAAAAACAGTTTATTACCACAGGCAATCAAGAGATGAAGAGCTGCCTACCCTGACCTACATAACCTCTAACCAGAGTGCTTCTCCTGTTGCAATTCAAGTTCAAGCTATTGTACTTTTATTACTTACTGTTGCTCTGCTGGGCCTCATTTATGGAAGGCAAAGATGGCATGGCTTCAACAAAACCCTTTGCCTGTTTATTACAAAATTCCCAGCGTTTCAGCTGCAGTTGTTGTAGCCAATACATCATGGCTTGTTTGTTGACAGCCTGTACAGTAATTCAATTTAAAATCAAAACAAAAGAGAAAAGATACACTCTTTATAACTAAAGTAGTTTTCTCCAAAATTGTTGCTGTTCAGATGGCAATGCCACTCCTAATATTCTTGTTTATCACTAATTAAAATCAAAATCTTTATTGCACTCATAGATCAGTGTAAGAAGAATAAAATATAAATACTTAATAATTTTAAAAACTAAAAATATAAAATACACAAGTTTAAATTAAAAAAAACTTTAGTGTATGTATGTGTATATATATATATATATACACACGCACACATATGCATGCATACATACATATACTGTAATTCTAAAAAAAACTTATAAAAAGGAATAAAGACATTAATTAAAAAACGAATTCTTACTAATCTATCAGAATACAAACACTCTTAGCCAACAAGTTAAATAATTTTGCTAGTGATTTTTATTTGAATCTTATTCATCCATAGCATGGTAAATAATTACAGGTAGTCCTCAATTTACAACAGTTCATTTAGTGACTGAATGAGTGTGACAATAGCACTGAAAAATGTGACTTATGGCCATTTTTCACAATTACGACCTTTGTAGCATCCCCATGTTCATGTGATCAAAATCCAGATGCTTGGCAACTGGTTCATATTTATGACTGTTACTGTGTCCCAAGGTCATAGGATCACCTTTTATGGCCTTCTGACAAGCAAAGTCAATGGGGAAGCCAGGTTCATTTAACAACTGGGTTACTAAATTATCAACTGCAGTGATTCACTTAACAACTGTGGTAAGAAAGGTCATAAAATGGGGCAAGACTCACTTAATAAATGTCTCACTTAGCAACAGAAATGTTGGGCTCAATTGTGGTCATAAGTCATGAACTACCTGTATGCTACTGTGATATTTAAAAATCTGATTGTACTGGACAGAATATATTTATCAACCCAGCAAAAAGTTATATTTATTTGCATATATACAATATCATGTTTCATAACAACGCTATCTATTGAGAATGTTTAGAGATAAGCTAATAGCTTGCCCAACAATGTCAATAAAAAGATATCACATGACATGAGATTTTTTTTAAAGAAAACATTTTCAAGCATAGCAGCTAGCCAGAACTTTTCAAGCCATATTTCAATACAAAGTTTGTTTAAATTTCTAGCACTGAGTGAGAATTTGTTTAGCTATCATAGGCAAGAATATAATCAGTTTCTTATTTCATAATATTTTGTGTAGCAAATTTAAACTTGGACAGTTCTGAATTCTTTGTTTAGCAACTTTATTGAAAATATCTCTCAAGTTGCTGAAATAATAAATATAACTGGGGCTTCAGTCCTAATTTAGGACACATCCACCCCACCCCCCCATCTTCCTGAAATTACATACCTTAAGAATAAAGTCTTTGATGGGAGTGCTGATTTCAAAAATACCCTCATCTGCTCCCACTTTCAGATCAAAGCTCGCAATGGAAATGTCTATGCTTCCCAAAGGATTAATATCCTGTGCTGTCCTGTAGTATAGCAAGTAGCATTTATTTTCATCATAGCAAAACCAGCGTGACTTCCAGGACTTGATTGGTGCTTTAGAAGAACATTTATATAAATAGCCACATAGTTTTTTTCTGGAGGCTTCTTGGCTAGATTTTATATCAGCGTTTTCCCAAACCTCAGGACATGGAGATACATCTCCGATGATATCATGACTGCTACTCCAGGTGTCTGCCATTTTTTCCTCTGGTGACATATTTGATGTTCCAGGTACAAGATCCTCTCTATCCTCATGATCTGATTTCATGTTTCTTTGAACAACAGCTCTTTTGATGGTAGTATACTAATTGAAAAAAAGAAAAAGAAAAGAGACATCAGTTAAGAACAGTAAAGTATAACCAAGTACATGCAATAAGACCAATCACTTAAAATTATCTGAAATTCCAAATAGAATATATATATTTTTCTTAACGCCAAATACAGAAAATATTTTTTTTCTATTTGCCTTATTTAAATAAATCGGTGTTATTCATTCTGCTAAAGCCATAAATAAATAGAAAAATTATTATTTTTTAAATCTATTGTTGGCTGTTATCTTTATTAGGAACAAGGAAAATGGCTCACACATTTTGAATTTCCCAAAGTTCTTCTTTGGACAGGAAATTTTAAAATGCATAGACAAGAGGATGTGGTATTATGTTAAATTCCTTCTCTTGCCAACAAGTTTAGGCAAAATAGGAGTTGAACTTTGAACATTCATAATATTACATAATACTACGGAGGCATGTTTTAGAGAATACACGTTGTGACTACAATGACTCTGAATAACCAGTCTTACCACTACAACTTTCTGCCTTCTCCAAAGTTACAACGTTTAACCTCTGGTCACCAAAAGACTGCTCAGCCCTGTCTTAAAAGGAATCGGAAGAGTCCTAAACAGAAACAGAAGTGGAAAAATCCTTTCCTGCCTCTCCTCTGAAATACAACAAGAATTAATAGCATTAGTCAGACATCAAGATTTGCACACTTGTTTGTCTTCAATGTGATATCTGCTATCATCTTTGTCATATATTATATATATATATATATATATATATATATATATATATATTATATATATATATATATATTATATATATATATATATATATATATATATATATATATATATATATATATATATTATTAGACAAACATCCCAGTCCCTATGCCAAAGAACGAACCCAAACGGAGACCTCAAACATTTTCAAAACCAGGTGCCAGGCTAGAAACCAGGAGATTGTGAATTCTACCATTAAAATGAATAGATGGGAAGGCTGATGGCTGCCTTGAATTCCCATCTTTTCATGAGGGTCCCACTATTTTTTTTTTTAAAAAAAGAAAGTGGGGAGATCAATCTGTCTGCTTCTTTTCAAGCAAAATTTCCCATTGGATAAATTCTGTACATTGTACTGACCCTCTCAACTCAGCCCACCGCACAAAATTGTTATGGGAGGAGAGAGAAAAAACTCCCGGAAAAAAAGTCAGGCTACAAAGCAAAGCAACTACAACCTCCTCCTCCTCCTCCTCCTCTTTTTCTTTTTCTTCTTTTTTTTTCTTCTTCTTCACCCCACACTCCGTGCCTGCATATATCCCTTTGGCCGTTCACCTGCTATGCATCAGGGGCGTCAAGCCGAAGAGCATAGCTGCCTTAAGAAACATTGCGAGCGATTCAGGTGAGCAATGCCCGGGAAGCCACCGTTGTGCTTCTCCTCTTTTACGACACATTCCAAGGCGGCTGCCCTCTTGAAATCAAAAAGTTAACTTCTGCCTAACGCGCATCCCGATAGCCCACGCTAGCCGTTCCCCCCGAGAACGTCACAGCTCCGACTCTCTCTTTTTTACCTCGGCTCAGCCTGTCCATGGCAACGCTCACAGCCGCCTTTGGACACCCGGCGGAGCAGGCCGACGCAAGGCGATCAGACAGCTGCTTCCTGACAGGGCGGGGCGAGGCGGTGCCAGGCAGTGCCGTCGGCCCAACACGTTCCAAGTCCCGTAAGCGGGAAAGAGAGCGAGGAGGCAGCCTTCTCCTCAAGAAGTCTTCCCGATCGCCCGCTTAAGCAGGAGCTGCAGGCTGCTTCGAGTTGGAATCCAGGAGGCGTTGCAAATTTTCCTCTTGTCAGCTATCTGAAGGGAGGCTTGACTGAGCAGTTTGGCACCTAGCAAAATACGGGGTTGGGCTGGATGTTGGACTAGATGACCTCCAAGGTCCCTTCCAACTCTTACTGTTACTGATGGCGTGGAAGACCTCTTCTAATTTTTAGAGTCCTTGGATTGCAACTTTCGGTTTCGCCAGCCAAAAGAGCGGCTGAGAGCAGTTGCAGAAAAGGTCATAAAAGGGAGGTTCATGCAATATTTGACCGCAGTGCAACGATTAAAATATTTTTAACTATTTTAAAAGCAGCTAGACTAACATCGGGAATTAGTTCAATGATTTCTTTAGGTGGGACATTCAAAGAAAGGATCCGACTTATTTTGGAGTTCTGGTTCTAATTCTGATTCCCACATTAGGCATCTTTTTTTTTTAATTGGCTCACCACTATCGAAGGAACAGAATAACCACATGGCTGAGATAGCAGAGCCCTAATCGTGTCAGCTTCTGAAATAAACGTTCCTATCAGATAGTATGATTTGAGCATGATAGTATGGTTGCTGTATTACCTGTTTTTCCTTAGTCCTTTGCTGCCACAGTGGCACTACCCGAAGATCTTTAATTTTCAGCTACCATTTATCATTTTTTCCAAAAATTTTAACAGCTCAAATAGAACAAGGTTGGAAAAAATGATAAAGAGACATATTGACTTTAAACCAGAGATATTTTTATTAGGGATTATACCGGAGACATATAATAAAGAACTGCAATATTTAATTGTGAATTTCTTGACAGCAGCTAGAATTGTATTTGCTAAAAACTGGAAAGGAGAAAAGTTACCTAATGATGAAGAAATTATTAAGAAAATGATGGAATGTGCTGAAATGAGTAAATTGACATTTGAAGTAAGAGAGCAGGAAGATAGACAATACTATTTGATATGGGATTTATTTTACCAATGGATAGAGAATAAGAATTGGAAATAATTATGATATAAATGGATGTTGAAATTTTTGGAAATAAGCTAGCATGTTTAGTGATAAATTGAAGAGGAGGAGGAACACAAAAATGCCACCGACTGATACACTGTCTATAATTGTATGGAATGATAATGTTTTTATGTTTTGTTTTGTTTGTGTTTTTGAAAAATAAATATATATATATAAAAAAAAGAACAAGGTTGTTTATGATGTCTATATGTTTGCTTTAATGTTCTCCCATAATTTTTTTTTAAAAAAGGAGCCATGAACATTTCAGTGAATCAAAGCTTTATATATCATCCCCAAAATGGAATCCATCCAGCCATTTAGTCTTTCATTGGCTTCTCAACTCCATTACACTTTTCTGTAGGGGGGTCAGAAACTGAACAAAATAAAATATAACACCATTAAATCCCATACATCTTTTGACCCTGCTGAATATTAACTTCAGCTTCAGCTTTGTTTCCTTATAGTGCCATCAATGGCCTCCAGTCTAATGGCAAGATTAGAAAAAAAGCAACCCATTTCTACCACCAAACGGGATAACAACCTGATATATTTTTAAATGCAGAAGCAATTTTTAATTATCGGAATTCCACCACCCCTTTAACCTAAATGGATTTAGGTCACATGTAGGAGCAGATTACAGGTAGTTCTTGGTTTATGACCACAACTGATCCCAAAATTTATGTTGTTTTAAAAGCAAAAAAGAGCAAGAAAGACGAGATCTGCAGGTCACTGAATACTTGTGAGAAAAATAATGGGATTGTTCCCATTTCTGTTATTTTCTGTTTGTTTCCCAATTGTTGGTATAGCTTTAAAAAGCATACACATCTACAAAATCAATGAGTCTTTCTGAAAAAACAGTAAAATAATTTATTTCCCAAACTAACCAAATAAAGAGCATAACCCCTCCATTATAGGAACTGCTTTCTGAATAATGCATCTCCAACAGGTACTGGTTTCTTTTTATAAACAAATTGCCAGCAATTAACACTGGGAGTCTAAAATGTACAGAGAGCCCAATTACTTTATTCTGCATGTCATATTAACCAGGCAACTCTCTGTGTTATATGTTCACTCTTCGGAAATTTTTGGATTATTGTGTTTTCTATTGTGAGCCACCCTGAGTCCGTTGGAGATAGGGCGGCATATAAGCCTAATAATAAAATAAATAAATAATAAATTTTCCAGACCACAGTTACCCATACAACCTTCTAATAACCACAGTTACCCATACAACCTTCTAAATAAAAATAAAAATAAAATTCTAAGGCGTATCAGTGGAATGGTTTGTCTTCAGAACTTGTGGATACTCCATTACTGGAAGTTTTTAACAAGAGATGGGACAGCCATCTGTCTGAAATGGGTCTCCTGCTTGAGTAGGGGATTGGACTAGAAGACCTCCAAGGACCCTTCCAACTCTGTCATTCTGTTATTTAGCTCTGTGAACACAGATTCTTTCAAACCAGAATGAAATGTATGCAGTATGGAGGTTGAGAGAACAAGAAAGTGGTTGTCAGCTTTTATTTAAATGGCATATCTTGTATCTTATAATATTAATAAATAAATAAAAAGGAACAAAAAAGAAGGGGGGGGAGAGATCCAACCCTGGAAATAAAGAGGAATTTCCTTACAGTGAGAACTGTAAAGCAGTGAAACAGTTTGCCTCCTGGAGTTGTGTGTGCTCCATTGTGGAGATTTTCAAGAAAAGATTGGGGGAAGCTCCAATCCCCCCAAAAAATCTCTTTGGTGAAAAAACAAAACTGGCTATGTAGCTAACTTTAAAAACTGCTACAAAACCTTATGCCGTCAGATAAAGGCAGAATGCACCAATTGCTACTGCAAACTGCAAACAAAAGGAAAAGCTGTTACACACAAAATCCACCTGCACCTTCTATAATTTTGTAAATATCAAATACCAGACTCGAAAACCATGCTACCCCTAAAAAGGCCTAATGGGAAAGACTGTAATGATGAAGCTGTTAAGGCCAATATTTTCAACACGTTCTTCAGTTCAATCTTTGTCAACAGTAATGGCTCATACCCTGCATTTCCTAGTCTTACCACAATTAATTGCAACGATCTGCTGCATATTGACTTTATAGAAGATAACGTTAAAAAGGCATTACACAAACTAAAACCATATCTATCTATTGGCCCAGATGGATTATGTGCCTACTTTAAAAAAAGCTTTCCACTGCCATAGCCGAACCACTAAGCACAATCTACAAGATATCTTCTAGAACCAGCTCAACCGCAATAATACATGGGCAAACAATAGATACTAACTCAAAGTAAACTGCTCCAAACTCGATTGCAGAAAATATGACTTCAGCAACAGAGCGGTCAATGCCTGGAATGCTCTACCTGATTGTTGTTACATCCTCAAATCCCCAAAACTTTTAACCTTAAACTGTCTACCGTGGACCTCACTCCATTCCTAAGAGGTCTGTAAGGGGGCGTGCATAAGAGCACCAGCGTGCCTGCCGTCCCTGTCCTACTGTTCCCATTTATTCATACTCATTTCTTATGTATACCTGTTTATACTTATATGTTTATATGTTATGTTCATACTTATACTTGCTTTGTTATACTTTCTCATGGTTGACTAACTAACTAACTAACTAACTAACTAAACTAAAATAAAATAAAATAAATAAATATGAGGAGCCTTGCCTTCGGAGTTGGAGGATTCTACGATTCTCTGGTTTGTGCCACAATGATTGTGCTTCTTGTGAGCAGACAGCTTCCCACATGAAAGACAGAGGCCAGAGGCTATCAAGAGTCAGCCACTGGGTTGCCCAGTCATTTCTGGTCCAAAATGATCTACCCTCCTTGTGTAGGTTCAAAATGTAGTCAGTTTCCCTGGTTGCCGAGGTTGTGTTTGCCTGAAAAGCCACCAGCCAGTGCACAGCTGCCCATTCTTGCTTCATGGACTGAAATGCCAACACCTAGCTTGGTTATGGCAGCACGAAGGCTTTTCAGAGTAAGTATAGCTATCTCAGATACCAAAAAAATGGTAGTAGGGGAGAAAGTCATGCTTCTACTGACCTCCTATAGCTGTCAAGCTGCGTTGCGGACTCCGTGTGTGAGGAAAGGAAAACTCCCAACCACGGCCAGCTTTTAACAGTTTATTGGTTAGCACCTTCCTCCACGGGACACACAGCTAGGTTGACGGGTATGCAGAATACACAAAGTCAGCGTTGGGAGCGGCTGCCTCCCAACGCAATTTAAAGAATGCGCCAACAATGTATAACCACCGCCCTTCCGGGTACTAGTGCGCAGGCGGTTCCAGGGCGGTGAGTAGCGAAAAGTTAACCCTTGCTCGTCCGCAATTGTGTCCGGCCGCCTACCATTATCCTAACACCCCCACCACCAGTGATAGCAGATCCCAAAGCCCCAAATCGTCTTCCGTTGATACCCCTCCCTCGTCTGGCTCCCGCAGTTCGGCACAGTGGTCGGGCCCACGATCCCGGGGAGTGGATCGGAGTGTCGAGCGGATCTCGACAATAGCACCACCAGGCCTTCAACACTTCACAAAAGGCCAGCAGGATCTTTTAGCAAGATATTAAGCGATGAGCACTCAGTATTACCTTTTAATTGCAATCCTGTTGGAAAATCCAAGATATTGTCTTGTTTAAATTGTAAATAAAACTGAATAAAGCAATTAATAAAGGTAAAAAATCTTCTGGTCAGCATTTATTCTGGACATTATTTTTTGCCCTGAATCATGATGTGAATTTCTGAGGTGGTTGCTCATGGATCGTGCTGCAATACTGACCGAATCTCATTAGAAACCAATGTAGCAAAGAGAATTCAGTAGTTTCCCTGGCCAACTACTTTGCTGAAAGCCAAAGGCTCTTCCATCTTCTTGGGGTTCTCCTGGCCTTTCTCGGCATGGGGTCTTTCCAGAGGGACCCAGTCTTAAGTTGAGCTCTTGCATCTGGCAGAAATTTCCCAGCCCAGCCCTGAACCAAAGGCAATCCTCTCCCATCCAATAGTCTGCTGAAATGAAGAACTCAGAAGCAGCCAGAAACAGGTTATTTTTTATTTGGCTTTTATGGAATGTGGATGGGAGCTGCCTATGACTTCCAATATAGTAATATATATTTTGCATTAATTAATAAAAACATAATATGAAACTATAGATAGAGGAAAAACACCAAAAGATCCAACATTTAGAATGAAAACATTAAAATTAACCAAGAACTTGATAAAAATGACCAATATGCCACCGAACTTTTAATTAATGAATTAAAAATGGGGGCTGATTTACAATATTGCAATATACATTTATTTTTTTTAATTTATCAACTTTATATCCTCTCATATCACCGTCAATGGACTCTGGATGACTTGCAACTTCATCAAGAACAGTCAGTGGTGGAAGTGTGGGATTTGTTGTCTAGTTTGGAAATAAACAATCACCAGCCAAACTTCCAAGAAAAAACTATAATTTTATTCTTCACTTTGCAAAGAGGCTGGATCATACACACACAGGTACAGTGGAAACACTCTAAATCATCAATACACTTGTCTTATATTCTCTAGTACCGTTACAAATTTACCTCCCACCTTTTCTTGATTGGCTTAGTAATTGTGATGTCACAACCTATCCAGTGTCTAAAATAAATACAATATCTCTGCCCCTGATTACATCTCCCACTACTCTAATTCTATCTCCCCCTGCCCTAATTTACAAATTTCCTTTTATGGTCCTAGTTCCTAGGGGTTGTCTCTAGAGTAATTATCATATCAGTAAATTCTGGTTATGGCCAGTTTCTAGCCTCTGAAGGCCTCTGATCCTAGCTCCTAGGTACAATTCTCAAGCTTCAGCCTAGCTCATGAGATTAGAAACATATACAATGTATTTTCTTTACAGGCCGGCATGTCTACCTACAATTCTGAAAAAACAATATAATTCTGTTTCCCCAAGAAACGGATGGACGCTCATCAGAAAGCCAACCCTGGAAATAAGAAGGGATTTCCTTACAGTGAAATCAAATAAAGCAGTGGAAGAGTTTGCCTCCTGCAGTTGTGTGTGCCCCATTGTGGAGATTTTCAAGAAAAGATTGGACAATCATTTGTCTGAGATGGTATGAGGAACCCTGCCTTCGGAGTTGGACTAGGAGTCCCTTCTACCTGAGGATTCTATGATTCCCTCTGCTTTGTGCCACAATAATTGTACTTTTTGTGAACAGCCAGCTTCCCACATGAAAGGCAGAGGCCAGAAGCTATCAAGTCAGTCACTGGATTGCCCAGTCATTTCTAGTCCAAAATGATCTTGTGTAGGTTCAAAATTGTTTCCCTGGTTGCCAATGGAACAAGGTTGTGAGTTTGACTAAAAAGTCACCAGCCAGTGCACAGCTGCCCATTCTTGCTTCATGGATTGAAATGCCAACACTTAGCTTGGTTATGGTAGTACAAAGGCTTCTCAGATGCCAAGAAACTGGTAGAAAGAAAGACTTGCTTCTCAACTCTTCTGACTGGCTCATGTCTATTTCTCTTCTCCTCACAGAGCCTCTGGAAAACTCTCAGGTGTTCATTCCTTTTCTGTTGTATGAACACCAACATAGAAGACCTTCCTGTGCCTCCTGACAGGTGCCATGACCTTCTCCTTAAACCTTGGGCATGGTGGGGCACCATTGATGGTCTGCAGGACCTGTAAAAACCTCTGCCCAAGACAGCATCCAACTCCACAAGGAGCTTGCAGATGGGCAGGCTGACTGGCCAGTCTTAGAAAGGAGAGGCTGAGCTAGATGGATGTTCTTTGACATACCCTTCTTCTTTTGGTCAGAACTGACGAGGCACAGGAATGGGGTGAGCAGCTCATGGAAAAACATCTTCATTCCCAGGGGTAAGAATGGTTTTGCAACAGGGCCAGTCGGGGTTCAGGCCTCAAAACTGGGTGGGGGAAGGGAGGAATTCTCACTTGGGAGACCTGGCCAGCCTAACAAACTCAAGAAAAGTCCCTTGGTTAAAATATTCACAATTAAATATTGCAATTCTCTATTTTATGTCTCTGGTAAGATACCTAATAAAAATATCTCTGGTTTTAACTACGGCTAGAATTGTATTTGCAAAAAACTGGAAAGGAGAGAAGATACTTACTGATGAAGAAATTATTAAGAAAATGATGGACTGTGCTGAAATGAGTAAATTTGACATTTGAAATAAGAGAACAGGAAGATAAACAATATTATTTGATATGGGACTTGTTTTATCAATGGATAAATAATAAAACATGGACATGAAATATGAAATAGGAAGCGGAAGTTAAGATAAAATATGTAAATTCTTTTTTTTAATGAAAAATAAGTTTTGGTCAGATATTGATATTTTGAAGATGGGAGTCAGCACAAAAGGATGTTAACCAATCGATACACTGTCTGTAATTGTTTGGAATGATTATGTTTTTATGTTTTGTTTTAGTTTTTTTAAAAAAAAATTGTTTTCAAAAAGAAAAAGAAAAGCCCCTTGGATTCATGAAAAGACCTTGAGGGGGGAAATACTGGGAGTCTGTCAGTCAAATTTTCCATGTTCCGCTTTGCCCTCTGGAATGCAGCCCTCCTCCTGGGAATCCAGACATTGCTCTGCCACATACAGAGAACTTTGATTTATACCTTCAAACAAATGAACAATTGTTACTTTCGGGTATTGATAGGTATACAGACAACCACCCAGAATCCTAGGATGGAAGATGTGATACCACTTCACAATTTGACAAGATATGTGTTCTCAGCTGAGAGATTGGGAAACCCCCAAGAAGGCAGCTGCACTAAAGCCCTACAGAGAAAGGCTAGAAGAAATGTTTGCAGAGGGGAGACATCTCTACCCTCTACTTTTGCTTTTGTTTAAGGAGGAATGACACAGGGCAATTCCATTGGCAGGCCAAGTGGAGGCCTCTTAAAGCCTCCAACTCTCCACTCTTGAAAAAACGCCCATGACTAGTTTTGATCGCCCTTCATTCTCTCCCCAGAAATGAGAAGAGAGTGGAGTGGAGTGGATTTTGGAGACCTTCAATGAGTCATTAAGACTTCCAAGGAGTGGAGTAGAATGGATTTTGGAGACCTCTAATGAGCCATTAAGACCTCCAATGAGTCCAATGAGTGTAGTGGAGTGGATTTTAGAGACCTCCAATGAGTCATTAAGACCTCCAATGAGTGTAGTGGAGTGGATTTTGGAGACCTCCAATGAGACATTAAGACCTCCAATGAGTGTAGTGGAGTGGATTTTGGAGACTCCAATGAGTCATTAAGACCTCCATGAATCTAATGAGTGGAGTGGAGTGGATTTTGGAGACCTCCAATAAGTCATTAAGACCTTCAAGGAGTAGAGTGGAGTGGAGCTGACTGGAGTAGAATGGGTTTTGGAGTTCTCTGATGAGTCATTAAGACCTCCAATGTGTCCAATGAGTGGAGTGGAGTGGAGCGGAGTAGAATGGATTTTGGAGACCTCTAATGAGTCATTAAGACCTCCACGGAGTGGAATAGAATGAGTCATTAAGACCTCCAATGAGTCCAATGAGTGGAGTGGAGTTTGGAGACCTCAAATGAGTCATTAAGGTCTTATCACAGTGGCAATAGCAGAAGCCCTTCCTCTGCAGATTTGTCAGTATGCCAACAGATTGTTTGCTCTGTTATTTCAGGATTCACAGGAGGAATTCCTACCTTTGGATAAGGCTAACAAACAAAAAGATGTACAGCAAGAATGGAGTCCCTATCTAAGTAGCATCTCAGAGGATGAAGACCCCTGCTTGTTCTCAAGGGGCTTGCAGGATAGAAAAAAGATAAGACAGGCTAAGTGGCTCATCTTGGAAAGAGGAGGCTGAGCTTAAACATTTCACATTCTTCCTCTAGACAGGATTGAAAAGGCAGAGGACAGGGCCAAGAAGAAGAGAACTCTCCTAATGGGAATTCAATACTAATCTCAGAGGAAAGAAAGGTTTGTAATGTGGCTGATGGAGGCTATGCCATAAATTCTGATTGGGGAGGGGAGAAATTGTACTATATATCCACCTAAATTTAAGGCTTTCAAATGCTTTCTTGCTGTTGGCACTGTGGCTGAATGCACCCTATGCTTTTGCCATCTTATTGGGATACAGAGACCTTTGTATTTAGCCTCTTTGTATTTAGATGCTATAATTTGCATAATCCAATGGAAGTCCAGGGGGCCTCCAGGACCAGCAGCCTCGAGGATATGGACTCCATGATTTCTGACATTTGGGATGAGAAGGCAGAGGAAAGCTAGAAGACTGCAGAGGCCAACCTCTCTTCTAGTCCTTGGGTAAGAAAGACAAAGTGTTTTCTCTTGGGGAGGGATGGAGGCTCTCTATTCACTTCTCCTAACCTGAATGAACTGTGCTGGAGTGCTCTTTGAATGGAATCTAAATATAAGCAGCCAAGCTCTTATGTGATTGGTTCATTTACTGCAAAGCAGCACGGAATGGCCCCCTGTAGTGGACTAATGTGCTAAATGGATGTGACCCACCCTGCTTATGCCTTTTCTTTTTTTGCGTCACCATCTCCAGCACCTTGCTGCTTCCGGGCAGGGTTTTAACAGGGAAAGAATAGAGAGCCTACTTTTCTGGGGGATGCGTAGGGTGAGAGTGGGGATTCCTCCACCTCCAGAAAGCAACAGAAATCTAGTTTTGATCAAGCATCCCCATTCAATAGGCCCTCCTTTAGGAATTCTGAATTTCTGTTGCCCTGATGGCTAAAAAGGAATCATTGTCATTCACAGGATTCTCCTGAAGAAGCCATGATAGACAATCTCAGCAGCCTGCAAGATGTGCACCCAAGCTCTTCTGCGATTGGTTCATTTACCGCATAGCAGCATCAGTGGGTCATCTTGGAAAGAGAAGGCTGAGCTAGCTTGATTCCTTAAACATTTCAGCTTCTTCCTCTGGACAGTACTGGTATGTCATAAGATATGCCATGGAAGAGGAGCTCTGTCCCAATGGGGAGAAACCTTCCACAGAGGTAGAGTTTTGGCAATAGGGCTGATGGAGGCTATGCCATAAGTTCTGGTGGGTGAGGGGAGAAATTTGGAGTATATCCTAACAGTTAGGCTTCCAAAGGCCCTCTTACTGTTGGCACATAGGGGCTGAATGCTGCCTATGGTTTAGCCATCCTGTTGAGATGCAAATAGCTTTGGATTTGTCCTTGATACTGTCATTTGCAGGACTTGATGAAACTCCTGGTGGACTCCAGGACCAGCAGCCTGGAGAATGTGGACTCCATTGCTGACATCTTGGATGAAGAGTCAGAGGGAAACTGGGAGGAGGCTGCAGCGGCTTCCGAGGCCAGTGATTTTTCCACTCCATGGGTAAGAAAGACAAAGTGTTTTCTCTTGGGGAGGGATGGAGGCCCTCTATTCACTTCTCCTAACCTGAATGAATTGTGCTGGAGTGCTCTTTGAATGAAATCTAAATATAGGCAGCCAAGCTCATGTGTGATTGGTTCATTTACTGCAAAGCAGCACGGAATGGCCCACTGGAGTGGACTAATGTGCTAAATGGATGTGACTCACCCTGCTTATGCCTCTTCTTTTTTTGCGTCACCATTTCCAGCACCTTGCTGCTTCTGGGAAGGGCTTTAGCAGGGAAAGAGTAGAGAGCCTACTTTTCTGGGGGATGTGTAGAGTGGGAGTGGGGATTCCTCTGCCTCCGGAAAGCAACAAAAATCTAGTTTTGATCAAGCATCTCCATTCAATAGGCCCTTTTTTAGGAATTCTGAGTTTCTGTTGCTCTGATGGCTAAAGAGGAATCATTGTCATTCACAGGATTCTCTCAAAGAAGCAGAAGCCACTCTAGACGATCACAGCAGCCTGGAGGATGTGGACTCCCTTGCTGAGCTTCTGGATGAGTTGTCAGAGGGAAGCTGGGAGGAGGCTGCAGTGGCTTCCAAGGCCAGTGATTTTTCCATTCCATGGATTAGAAAGACAAAGTGTTTTCTCTTGGGGTGTGTGTGTGTGTGGAGGCCCTCTATTCACTTCTCCTAACCTGAGTGAACTGTGCTGGAGGGGTCTGGGTGCTGGAGCAAGGTGACACCTAGCCCTTTGAACAACATACTTAGGCAAACTATATGCACCAAGCTCTGGTGTGATTGATTCATTTAGTGCATAGCAGCATCAGTGGCTCATCTTGGAAAGAGGAGGCTGAGCTAGCTTGATTCCTTAAACATTTCCCCTTCTTCCTCTGGACAGTCCAGATATGTTGGAACCGGAACAGGACCTCTCTATCAATGGGGAGAAACCTTCAGAGGTAAGAAGGTTTTGGCAATGGGGCGGATGGAGGCTATGCCACAAGACCTTATAGGGGAGGGGGAAATTGTGTGATATAGCCTCCTAGTCTTAAGGCTTCCAAAGGCCCTTTCTCTTGGCACACAGGAGCTGAATGCAGCCTATGGTTTAGCCATCTTGTTGAGATGCAGAGAGCTTTGGATTTAGCTCTGATGCTGTCATTTGTAGGATTCGATGAAAGTCCTGGTGGGCTCCAAGAGCAGCAGCCTGGAGGATGTGGACTCCCTTGCTGAGCTTCTGGATGAGGTATCAGAGGGAAGCTGGGAGGAGGTTGCAGTGGCTTCCGATGCCAGTGATTCTTCCAGTCCTTGGATAAGAAAGACAAAGTGTTTTATCTTGGGGAGGGAGGGAGGCCCTCTATTTACTTCTCCTAACCTGAATGAACTGTGCTGGAGTGCTCTGGGTGCTGGAGCGAGGTGACACCTGACCCTTCGGACAATACTTAGGCTAAATATATGCAGTCAAGCTCTGGTGCGATTGGTTCATTTATCGTATAGCAGTATCAGTGGCACATCTTGGAAAAAGGAGGCTGAGCTTAAACCTTTCACTTTCTTCCTCTGGACAGGACTGAAATGGCAGAGGACAGAGCCGAGGAAGAAGAGAACTCTCCTAATGGGGACTAAACACTTACCTCAGAGGTAAGAAAGGTTTGGCAATATGGCCAATGGAGGCTATGTCATAAGTCCTGATTGAGGAGGGGAGAAATTGTGTTGTATATCCTTCTAAACTTAAGGCTTCCAAATGCTCTCTTGCTGTTGGTACTAGGGCTAAATGGACCCTATGCTTTAACCATCTTGTTGGGATGCAGAGAGCTTTATTTGATTCGATGGAAGTCCAGTGGGACTCCAGGATCAGCAGCCTGCAAGATATGGACTTCAGTTTTTTTATATTTTGGATGTGGAGTCAGATGAAAAGTGGGGAACAGGAGAACTAGGTTGGGAAGTGAGGAACTAGCCCTAATCCTAACTCTAAAAGTGGGCAACTAACCCTAATCCTAACTTAATCACTGGAGATTGTCAAGAGAAGATTGAAAAATGTTTTGTCTGAGATGGTTTGAAGACTAATTCCTTGGGCAGGGGTTTGGACTAGAAGATCTCCATGGTGCAACCAGATGATTCTATGAACAGACACCTTCATATATGAAAGGCAGAGAAAAAAGGCCACCAAGCCATAGCTGTCCATATTTGCTTAATGGATTGAAATGCCAAAATCTAGCTTGGTTATGGCAGCATGAAGTTTTTTTGGAATGTGGCCATTTTAGCTGCCAATAAAATGGGGTAGAGGTGAAAGTCATCCTTCCTGACTCTTCTGCCTGGCTCACAGTTATCTGTTCTCTCCTCTCTTTACAGAAACTCTGGAAAAGGTGTTCCTTGCTTTTATTTGCATGGACACCAATCTTGAGGACCTTCTGGTGCCTCCTGACAGGTACCATGGCCTTCTCCTAAACGCTGGGCATGGTCGGGCACTTTTGATGGGCTGCAGAGTTGGTAAGAGCCTCTCCCCAGGACTGCTTCTTATCCACAAGAGTCTTGAAGGGAAAAATGATTGAAAAGACTGTGCTAAATGGATGTTATTGGACATGTCACCTTCTTCCTTTGCTAAGGACTGAAGAGGCACATGAATGGGGTGAGCAACACGGCTGCTCTCATCATGGAAACACATCTTTATTCCCAGGGGTAAGGACGGTTTTGTAATATGTGGGGGTTCATGCCTCAAAACCAGGTGGGGGAAGAGAGGAATTCTCACTTAGCGGGAACCTAGCCAACATAGCAAATTAAATAAGAGCCCCTTGGATTCCTGGAAAGACCATGATGAGTTGGAGAGCACAATACTGGGAAATATTAGGGAGGGGATGTTTTGACCCACTATCTGTCGACCAAATTTCCCAAATTCTGCAGTCTTTGCCCTCTGGAATGCAGAGCTTCCGTTCTGGGAATCCAGACAACATTTCACCAGATGCAGAGAACTTTGATATATACCTTAAAATGAACAATTGCTACTTTCAGGTTAGCCCAGAACCCCAGGATGGAAGATACAAAGTCCCTGCCCAATTTGACAAGGTATGTGCTCTCAGCTGAAGAATTCTGAAGCCCCCAAGAAAACAACTGCACTATAACCCTAAATAAAAAAGGCTAGGAGAAACCTTTGCAGAGGGGAGGGATCTCTATCCTCTACATCTGCTTTTGATAAAGGAAGAATGACTCAGGGCAAACTTATTGGCAGGCCAGCTGGCAGGCTTCTTAGAGCCTCTATGTGGCCACTCTTGACAGAGGGACCATGGCTAGTTTTGATCTTTGGCCCCTTCAATCTCTACCAAGAGATGAGAAGAGGCCGCATCACTATACTATTTGGGAGATCTCTATCAAGTTGATAAGGCCCGAGTGCTCCACATCCTTATAATGGCAGAAGGCCTGTCTCTGTGGATTTGTTGATATGCCAACTTTGCATTGTCATTTTAGGCTTCATTAGAAGCCCTACCCTTGGAGAAGACAACCAGTTCAAGGGCTTTGAAGCAGAAAATGTGTTAGCACCTTAGAGGGTGAAGGCCTCTGCTTGTTTACAAGGGCCTTGCAGAGTAGAAAAATTGACAGGCTGACTGGCTCATCTTGAAAAGGGGAGGCTAAGCTAGCTTGATGTCCTTACACGTGTCACCCTCTTCTCTGGACAGGATTGAAAGGGTAGAAAAAAACAAAGAAGAGAAGAAATCTCCTGATGGAGATACAACTCCTACTTCAGAGAAAAGAAAGGTTTAGCAATGGGGCTGATGGAAATCATGGATAAAATCCTTGTGGGGGAGGGGAGAAAGTATATTATATAGCCTCCTAACCTTAAGGCTTCCAAACGCTGCTACTGTTGGCGCTGGGGCTGGATACACCCTATGCTTTAGCCATCTTGTTGGGATGCAGAGAGCTTTGGATTTATGCCTTGATACTGTCATTTGCAGGATTTGATGGAAGTCAGGGGACATGGGGGCATCCACAGCCTGCAGCCTCAAAAATGTGGACATCATTATTTACGATATTTTGGGTGTGGAATCAGATGAAAGTGAGGAAGATGTTGCACAGGTATTTGAGGTCAACTTCTCTTCCGGGAAATGATGGAGAAAGAAATACAATTTTCAGTTGAGGAAAGATGGAGGCCCTACATCCAGTTGTCATAACCTGAATAAACTGTGCTGGAGTGTTCTGGTTGCTAAAAGCTTGATGATGCCTGCTAATTCCTTTCTTTTTTTTGCTTCACCCTCTCCAGCACCTTGCTGCTTCCGTGCAGGGCTTTAACATGCAGATAGCCTACTTTCCTGGGGGGACTGGTGGGGTGGGAGCTGGAGATTCCTCCAACTCCAGAGATGCATCCAGCAACAGAAACACTATACAGGCCAAGCTTCCCCATTCAGTAGGCCCTATTTTAGAAACCCCGATGGCTAAAAAGGAATCATTCCGTTTCATAGGAAAGACATTCTAGATGGTATCAGCAGCCTGAAAGAGGACTCCTGGGACCCCCCTCTTTAATTCAAAGAGGTACGTATTTGAGCCTTTTCATGGATCACTGCCTTGTCATGGTGAAAAAGCTTGCGCAACTGAAGAAAACTATGAATTATGCCATGCAGAGCCACCTAAGGAGGACAGGTCATAGTCCATCTTTGGGGCTAAAGGGGAATCACTATCATTCAGTGTATTCTCCCAAAGAATGGGAAGATATGCTAGATGATGTCAGCAGCCTGGAACAGGATGCCTGGGACTATCACTATCTTCTGGGGCTGACTTGGAAGTATTATGGGTTGCAAAAGCCTCCCCCACAAACCTTTCCTGTCCACATGGTTTTGTAATGCAAAAGATTTGACAGGCTGATTGGCTGATCTTGGAAAGGAAAGGCTGAGGTTGCTGGATGTTCTTCCACATCTCAACTTCTTCCTCCAGAAGAGGAGCAGGAACTGATTGAGGAGCAGGAGAGATATGCTGATGGAGACACATCTGCTTGCTTAGGGGTTAAAAAAGGTTTGGCAATGTTACCAGTGGAAATCATAGCTCAAGTCCTGGTGGGAGGTACGCACTCCTGGGTTGAGGGGCATTCTTTTTAAGGGGTTTAGGACACTTAAAAATGAATTTTCTAGGTAGTAAGTCAAGTGAAGAAGAGAAAGAATCCCTGTCCTGTCTTGAAAGAGCAAAAGGCCCTAATTTCTCCAGTAGAGATATGTCAGGGGGAGGGGGGAACAGTGCATAAGGCAGTCAATGCTCTGGTCACTTCAGAATGCTCAAAATGTTTCAAAGATGAATTCTTGATTGTAAAAATGAGTGTATGCAAAGAACAAGTCAAAGAGATATCAGCCGAACAGCAACTTAATCAGAATTTTGGCAGCCCTTTGAGTAATCCTGGTTCTCAAAGTAAAAGCAGGCTGAAGTTTGTCTCAGTTACTCAACCTGGAGATGGAGGCTCTTGTTGCTCACTTAGAGATTATCCAGGGACATCTTCTGCTTTACATTTTCTTCCAAGATACAGTCCTGTTTGAAAGAAGGAGAGACATAATCATATCTTCTGCTCAGTTCAGGGATAATTTTGTTCACCTGTCTTCTCCAATATGGCTCTTTCTTAATGTTTTGGAGTCCATCATCTTCTACTAGCATGAAATGAAGTGGGGATTTAAGAAACCAACGTCTGCTGAGTGGTCTCTTGCAGAAGGGGTCTTTAGAGATAATCAGCGTTGGTAAGTTTATGCATTGCATACAAACAGGTAGTCCTTGACTCACAACTACAATTGAGTCCAAAATTTCCATTGTTAAGCAAGAGAGTTGTTAAATGTTTTATCCCATTTTACACCCTTTCTTGCCACAGTTAAGTGAATCACTGCAGGTGTTAGGTTAGTAACATTGCTGTTAAGTGAATGGGCTTTGCCACTGACATAGTCAGGTCACAAATGGTCCCATGGTCATTGACTTATCACCGTTTTTCACACTTACAACCTTTGCAGCATCCCCATGGTCACATGATCAAAATTAAGACACTTGGCAACTGGCATATATTTATCATGGTTGCACTGTCCTAGGGTCATATGATCACCTTTTGCAACCTTGTAAAATGCAGAGCCAGTGGGGAAGCCAGGGTCACTTAACAACTGTGTTACTAACTTGAACGATTACAGTGATTCACTTAACAACTATGGCAAAAAGGTCGTAAAGGTCATGTTACTACCTTAACTGCAGATAAAAGGTAAAGGTTAGGGTAAAGGTTCCCCTGTCCAATCATTTCTAACTCTACGGGGTGGTGCTCATCTCTGGTTTTTAGTGGAGGGAGCCAGCGTTATCTGAAAATATTTCTGAGGTCATGTGGCCAGAATAACAACACACCAAGATGCACGGGATGTGGTTACTTTCTCATCAAAGTGTTTATCTACTCTCATTTGCATGCTTTCGAAGTTCTAGGTGTACAGGAGCTGGAGCAAGTAACTGGAGCTCAGCCTGTTGCACAGCACTCGGGTTTCAAACCCATTTAACCACTGAAATACAATTAATAACTATGGCAAGAAAGCTCCTAAAATGGAGAAAAACTCTCTTAGCAACTGTATTGCTTAGAAATAGAAATATTGGGCTCAATTGTAAAGTCAGAGCTATCTGAGGCTGAAAAAACAGATCCCCTCCTCCAGAGAGTGTATCCAAAGGAGGTTTCATTGCACAATTTTTAGCCATCAGAGGAGCAGGGTTGTGTGCAAGGTTTAAAAAAGTATAAATGCTGGGTGCAACCATGCAGTGGAAATTCTACTTCTTTTTTATGCCTGTTGCACGTAAAAGAGTTGGGGCTTCAATTATGTAGGAGCAGCTACTTTCTTGAATTTTTTGACTTTCCCAGTTAGATGGGGAGGTTCAATGGGCTGCTGAAATGGAACCTCGAGGCTACAGTTCCCCCCTCCATGTTTGCTCAAAAAACATACTCTTGTGTTTGCAATTGGTTTGATGAAATAGGGTACACAAAACATTACCAGGAACCTGGATAATTTGCTTCATCCATGCTAGGCAAGCCCAGTTTAGTCTAATGTACTATGTGAACTCAAGCATGGTGGTGTTCTGACCCAGCTCCCCAAACACGACAAACCCTCTGACATGAACTCAAAAGATTCTTTTATTTATTAGGAATGCCAGCAGCCCCGGTAAAAAGTTTATCTTGCAGGCTAACAAGTGCATCTGGCTGGAAGATGAATACAGTAGAACCTCTGGTCACAGCCATAATTCGTTCCATAACTTTGGTTGCAACCCGATTTGGTCGTGACCCGAACCTAACCAAAATTAATGCAAAATTAATGTAACAGCCACACAAGGTCGCTGTTGTTTGGTGCTTACAAAAGAAATAGCATGGAAGGGAAAATTGGCCATGGCTGTGTTCGCCACCTGAGTATGTGTTTGTGACCAGATTCAAAAATTTTGTGAATTTTTTGGTTGGAACCCGATTTGGTCATGGTCAGAAGCGTTCGTGACCAGAGGTTCTACTGTAGTTTTCTGCCACACCTATTCATCTCTGCTCCCTGCCTTTTATCCCCAGAGCTAGGGTGGGGCCTCATTAGAGCGGTGGCTTCTCTTTCCCCAGGATCAGCCCACAGCTTTCCACTGCTCTCCCTTTCTCTGCCTTCTGTGTGTCAGGCACTGGACCCTCTTCTTCTTCATCAACCACCTGGGGGCTGTTGACTCTCCATCTGAAGGGCTGATGGATGCCCAAGCTTCACCTCTGTCTCTCTCTCTCTGCCAACTCCATTCTCTCTTCTTCCTTGGAGGTTGTCCTGACTCCCACACCTCCTCCTCCTCCTCCTCCTCTGATACGGCTGCTGGAGGGGCCAGCGGCCGACAGGCCAAAACAGATGGGCAGTTACCTCGGGATATAATGGTAATGAAGGTGCACCTCCTGCCCTGCAAGCATCCTCCCTGATTCATTGCTCTGCAATTTGAGAGAAGGTCAAATCCCACCAACAGCCAGCTGCCATCTTGGCCTTTGCCAACCTAACCCTACAAGGTGTGGGTGTCTTCCGTGAGCTGCAGCCCTCAAGAAACTCCCCTAAACCTTTTCTCTGGAGGAGCTGCCTCAAAAACAGAAAAATGAGCACCTGGAATTTGTGTTATTTTATTATTGCTTTTCCTTAGTATTGACTGCCCTACTTTATTCTTCATCGTTCTTCTGGGAACAATGGGAGAAGAGATTGATACAGTATATTGCCTTTCTTCTAACTGTTCAAGATAGCTTTCTTTCTTTTTTTTTTTTAATTTGATTTTTATTATAACATATAGTGATACATTCGATACATTTTCGGTTCATTGGTGCAATTATATACATATATACATCTACATGCATTATTACTTGTCTTTTATTTGATATTGTTTCTTAAAGCTAGATTTAATTTCAAAACACTTAAAGATAATAGTGCTCAACTCTCTAAGACTAAATATAATACTATTCATATAAATTTTGTTAATTAATTAATATTTAATCTCTATTTCCTTCTTTATTTCTTTTCCCCATCCATTCGTACCACATGTCCCACACGCTATAAAATTCCGAATCTTCTCTGTCATTAATTTCTGAAGTCAATTTGTTCATTTCGGCACACTCCAATATTTTTCCAATAACATGTTCTTGAGGTGGTATTTGTTTTTCTTTCCAATACTGGGCAAAGGAAATTCTAGCGGCTGTCAGAATATGTATAATTAAATACTTTTTCTTTTTTGCATATTCAGTTTTCAAAATTCCCAGGAGAAAGGCTTTTGGTTCGAAATCAAAATTTTCTTTTATTATTTCTCTAATCCACATCCATATCATCCTCCAGAATTTTTGTGCCTGATTACATGTCCACCAGCAATGATAAAAAGTACCCTGCTGATGGTCACATTTCCAACATTCAGGGCTCGAATTGGGGTAGATCTTCGCTATCCTAGCTGGGGCCATATGCCATCTATAAAACAGCTTGTATTGGTTTTCCTTGTAAGCCGTCGCCTTTGTCATTTTAAGATTATTATTCCATATTGAATCCCATTCGTTCAGATTTATATTCTGTCCTATATTTTTGGCCCATGCTAACATCGGTTCTTTAACTACTTCCTCTGCCATATCGTACTCCAATAAGTAATTATATAATTTAGCTAGAATTTTGTCGTCCGTATCTTGTCAAATCCATTTATGCTCGTTTCAATGCCAAATTCCTCATCTTTTTTATATCTAGATTTAATTTGGTTATATGGCCACCAGTCTATAGAAATACCTTGTTCCATCAATTCTTCCCTTGTTTTAAGATTCCCTCCCCCATCTAATAATTCATTGTATCTGACCGTTTTACCCATTTCTAATATATTTGGATATATTATAGCCTCCATGGTGGAAAGCCATCTCGGAATTTTCCTATAGTGCTTCTGTCTCATCTCTCCCCATATTTGTATCAAGATCTCCCTTATTTTATGTCTATGGAAATAAGTTTTTATCTTCTTCCCAGTATCCCAGAGATATGCATGCCAACCCTTCTGGAGATCATACCCTTCTAAAGTTAACAGTCTTTTATTTCTCAGGGTTGCCCAATCTTTCAGCCATACTAGGTTTGCAGCTTTTTGATATAACTCCCAAGATAGCTTTCATTGCAACTTCCTATCCTTTTACCCCAACAACAATCCTGTGAATTAGGATCTCCCCCATGCTCTCAATTCTAATTTTGCGATACTTACAATTTCACTTTTCAAGGTTCCAAGACGCCTTTCTCTAAAGCAGCATGCAAAATCCTAATAATCAAAAAAGATAAAACAAAGTTAACCTTGAAAGTAATAGTTATCAGGCGCAATTATCACAATTTTTTATTATTTGTTTTACATTACTAGCACATTTTCATTAAAGCATTTTAAAAGCCCTCAGAAATAAGAGTGGGAATCCAGCTCCCAATAGGTAAAGTGCTTATCAGCTCTGAAATCATTTCACCCCAGGCCACTTTGATCATGTGTCATACTATTATGGTTTGTTTAATAATTTATTCCATAAACAGTTGGTAGGTTTACACAATATCGAACATTGCAAATTACAATGTATGGATTGACACATATTTAACTAAGATAAATTATATGATGGTTTAGTGCAATGTGCCAATTCAATCTATTCTCTTTTTTACATTCTGAGAAGGATCTGGGATTTCACTGTTTTGCTGGAGAGTGACTCAGATGAATGCCTAATTCTTCTTGGAAGGACAACCCTTTATTATTAAAAGTTTGGTAGTAACTTTTCAGACTAGCACATTTCATTACAAAGCAGACAATTTTAAAAGTTTATTCCTCCACCCCTTAATCAAACTCCTTCTGATTTGCCGCTACCACAGACTAATACACTTCTCCTACAATCTCAGAAGGAATGTTCAGAGCCTTTACTGCCATTGTACATCATGTATACAATGAAATATAATAAAATGTGGATCTATGCTGCACAAATTGGGGCACTTGCCACAAGAATGTGCCCTACAGATAATCTAGAAATCACTGGTTGCCAGAGATGAAACTACATTTAAAAGAGAACTAACCCGCAATTCACCAGTTATTAAATCACCAGTATTTCATATACTTTGAATCTTATAGAATCCATTTCAAATCTGTTACTCCCTTTCATCCACCCAACTAACTTTTAAACAAAGTTAGTTCTGAAAATTTATTTTTTTAACTATCGGATACGTCGATAATCACATTTTGCATGTTTTAACGAAGGAAAAAAAACCCCGCAAAATCAGTATTGAAAGCACCTCAGTCGCTGCCTGCACGCGCAGTTACTTAACGGCTCTGCTCCCAAGCAGTTGGATTTCAGAACCTCACTGAGCACGCGCGAACCAGCAGCCGAGCTGCCCTCATTCTTTTAAGCTTCACCGGCTCACAGAGCATGCTCCGGAAGGCCTCTGCCCAGACAGTGGGTTTAAAGATGGCAGGCGCGCTGCCTTCTTAAGTTAAGGTTGCACGCGGGCTGTTTGCAAGGAAAGCGAGCGGCGCTGTTAAGAGTCTGGGCGCGTTTCCCTCTGGTCATTTACGGATTTTGAGGTAATCCACTGTTATCAAGGAGAAAGGGGAGATAAAACGTTGGGAGCTTTATCTAAAGATTTCTTTCTTTTCTTTTCTTTTTTTTTTACTAGCGTAGTCAAATTTCAGAGCAGTCATGGAGGGTTCCAGCTACTGCTTAGATCAGTGATTCCCAACCCTGGCAGCATTAAGATGTGTGGACTTCAACTCCCAGAATTCCCTAGGCAGCATTTTAAGAGTTGCCATGGCTCATTTATTTTTATTTACTTATTTAATTTATATCCCACCTTTATTATTTTTATAAACAACTCAAGGTGAGGAACATATTACTGCTTTCTCCTTCTTCTCCTATTTTCCCTACAAGAACAACCCTATGGGGTGAATTGGACTGAGAGAGAGAGGGTGACTGGCCCAAAGTCACCCAGCTGGTTTTCATACCTAAGTCTTCTGATTTCTAGTGTGGTGCCTTAACCCAGTAAACCAAACTGGCTGAGAAACACTGGATTAGATCTTTATACTGTTTAGTCATGAAGTATCCCACCAAGAAGCTACTTAGCCTGCAGCATTTAAACTGAATGCAAGATTCTGCTTCTTTTAAGAAAGGAGGAGTGGGATGAGCAAAGTGTAAGAATCCTCTTGTTCAAAAAGGATTCTTTAGTTCTTTCCCTGTAAGCTGTTATGCTTCCAGTTGTGTATTCTGGTGAGAGAGATTTTTCCAGGAAGCTCCCAAGCAGGGCAGAAGTCTTTTTCAGCTGTTGGCTTCTAAGATCTATTATTTGCAGATACACTGCTGCTGTATATGGAAGTCCTGCAGATACAGTGCTGCTGTACATGGAAGTCCTTGATCCAGAACCACATGCTTCATGGTTTTGAAGCAAATTAAACAAAACCAGCCAGCACAGTCATTGTAGCAATAGCAATAGCACTTAGACTTAAATGCCGCTTTACAGCCCTCTCTAAGCAGTTTACAGAGTCAGCATATTGCCTCCAATAATTTGGGTCCTCATTTTACCCACCTCGGAAAGATGGAAGGCTGAGTCAACCTTAAGCATGGTGAGATTTGACTGCCAAATGGCAGGCAACCGGCATTGTAACTGTGCATTTCTTAATCATTCACTGGACTCATTCATAATGGTGCTAGATTATGATTTCACTTTTGGCTTAGCATATTCTGTAAATCTAATCACATGATTTATAACCCCTGTGAGCATGGTTAAGTCGGAACAGAGCTTAGAGCAATGGGGGATGTAATCAATCATCAAGAGCCAAACTTGTTCCCATCTTTATACCTCATTATGGGGTCAGTAGGTCATCAATCAATGTGGAAACGATATCTCTTTTATTTCAGTGGTGTTTGTGGAGAAAAATATGAGAAACCTAAAATTATTGAGAGCACAAGAATGCCAGCCAGTCCGAGCTCTTGGAACTCCTCAAGGTTTCACTGTCCGCTCAGACAGAGGAACAGTGTTGATCAGCACCGAGTATGGGATTGTGGAACTGGATCCTGTTACACAGGAGGTGAGGGTTCATATGTTATCCAAAATACGGTTCTTGGGTTTGAAAAATTCTCTCACAAGCAGGGGCTGTAGAAGGAAAACTAGATGATATTGCTGCCCCTGAAACAGATGTAATGGAAATTTCTTTCTTCAAATGGATCGTTAAATTAAGGTTTTACTTTTTTTTTTTTTTTGCTATACAGAGAGCCCTATCAGACTTTGAAAGAATTTGGGAATATCTGAGAATACAAAGAAAATTCCATTCTGTAAATATTTCTAAACTATAAACATGTCCTATTTATCAATCTTTCAAAAAGGTAACAATAATGATCCAACAATATATAGAACAAAGATGAAAGATTTCTCATGAGCCTTTTTCTTGTCTTTGTTTTAAAGATCATCAACGAAGTTACTTTGACAACTGAGGCTTTTCTGCCAGAAGATGGAAGCGGGTGTATTGTGGGCCTGGAAGATTTGTCAGATATAGAATCGGTCTGTGTGGCTACAGCAATTGGTGATGTTATATTGTGCAATCTAAACACTCACCAGGTATGGTAGAATGGCAAATATAACAGTGCCCAAATAATATATGAAATAGAATGCAAGAACATAATGCATAATACAAAATTACTTGCTTTAACATTGCTAGTCTCAATATAGCTGTTGCCCCTTTAAATAAATATATTGGCTTCTTGAATATAAGAATAAAACTAACTCTATAAAGGATGCAAATCATCATATGTACATATTTTCTGTGGCAGTGTTTACCCTTTGGAATGATCTTGCTCCTGAAATTCAAATGACCCTAACATTCTAACCATTCTGGAAAGCTAGGAAAACCTGGTTTTCCCCATACGTTGGGCCAGGGCATTAGATGAGCTCATTTTCTGGGGAATGGAATGTATGTTTATTTGATCTTGGCAATATGTTGTCTGTTATGTTAGTTATGGATGTAATTTCCTTGATTCTGATTCATAATGTTGCCAGGTTCTGTGCAGTAGCAGTTAAAATCCATCAGAAGATGACCTGTGCCATTCTTTTTAGATTCTTCTTAGATTTAAAAATATATATTTTAGCTTTTCATAATTAATATTTTTAGATTTTGATGTAATATTTTACTGTGATGTATCTTTTATGCCTTTTAATTTTTTTGTACCCCATCCTCCTTTTGCTGGCTTTTGACCATAATAAAGATTTGATTTGATTCAGTTGCTAAACAGGCCAGTCATTAAGCAAGGACGATCTGTAAAGACAGAGCTAGTACTCCTGGTCATGCATCTTGTCTATGCTGCTTTACGGGGCTAATATATAAACATATTACATTAAGATGTTGAGTTTACCCATATTGTGGCAAAATTATGTGTCATAACTTGCAACATTTTGGAAGAGCTAACACCTTCACTAACACCTCTTGTTAATAGTTTGTATCTTAAAATCCTTAAGAGGAGTATTAATTGATGAATTTTATGGTCTTTGTAAACAGTTAATATGCTTGACTGTAGTAAAGAAGAATTTACCTTCAAAATGTTGAGTCTAATTTCCACTGAGATTGTTTTTAAACAGTTAGCACTTTATTTTTTTTAAAAAAGAGCAAAGTTATGCTACATTGCAACACATGGGCTGGTGGCCACTATATGAGAGCAAAGAGTTAAGATTTTCTGTACAGTATCACTGCAGCCATAGTAATAAAGATCTACAGGTACTCCTCAACTTACAACAGTTCATTTAATGATTGTTTGAAGTTGCACTGAATCCCCCCCCCCCCCCCCACTTATGACCATGGCAGCATCCCCATGGTTACATGATCAAAATCCAGATTTCGGGCAACTGATATTTCTGATGGTTGCAGTGTCCCAGAGACATGTGACCACTTTTTGCAACCTTCTGCCAAGTAAAGTCAATGAAGCCAGATTCACTAAACACCTGTTACTAACTTAACAACTGCAGTGATTCACTTAATGACTGTGGCAAGAATGTCATAAAATGGGGCAAAACTCTTAACAAATGTCTTGCTTTGCAACATAAATTTTGGGCTCAATTATGGTTGCAAGTCGAGGGTCACCTGTCTTGACATTATGCTCCAACCTCATTTCTAGTTAAATATTATGGAGAGACCTTCTTATATGACTACAGAAATAGTATTGCAGGACTAGAACATGATCACTATCCATCTGTATTTGACTCTTAACTTGAAGATGATTGAAGTAAAACATGTAATTTGCTTGATTTATTGGTGTTGGTTGCTATTAAACAGATATAAACAGTATTAAAATCTTATTCTTTTGCAGCTGGAATGTGTTGGCAGTGTGGACAGTGGCCTGACCGCAATGAGCTGGAGTCCTGACCAAGAGCTTGTTCTTCTTGCTACAGGTACAAATAGAAAATGCAAAACATTCTCAACTTTATTTTCTGTCTATTGGATTCTGGCAGAGAATGGCTTATTACATCTGATGGTTTACAACAGGAGTGTCAAACTCACAGCCCGCGGGCTGGATGTGTTTCGTACCCACCCCCTGTTTAGCGAAGGGGGAAAAAAATCCCAATACATCACGTGACGACGTGAGTTTGACACCCCTGGTTTACAAAATAGTGAACAGCTATTGATTTGCATTAACTATTCCTTGTTTGACAAAAGCATGGTGGGTTCATATGACGTGCATTAATATCATCTTTAACCACAACAGGCTACAAAGCAATAGGCAGGGCCAAGGGGCCAGATGGTAGATCTTCTTCTTCTTGTGCCATATTCACCATTGGATGTTGGTGATCATGTTGGCGATCCTATTTTTATCAACAGCCACATGAAAAAGTGCTGCTGAGTTTTATCCAAACCAGTTCCTTAGATTTTGAAGCCATGATGTTCTTCTTCTGCCTGGACCTCGTTTATTTCAATTTTTCCCTGGAGGATTAAATGAAGTATGCCGTATTTTTCCGCGTGTTGTATCACATATCCAAAATATTTTAACTCGATTTTTAATGTTTTTTTTAAAAATAATATTTATTAAATTTCCAAAGATTAAAATACACAGTACAAAAAGAAACATAATACACAAAAAAAGCAAGAAACACACCCACACACCCACACACACCCACACCCACAAAACAAAAAATATAAACAACCAAAAACAAACATCAAAATTTCAATACTAATAACAACTTTTCTGCATTGGTATCTCTAACCTATTTAACCTCTTTATACAAATTCTACTTCTAAATATCTCTATCTTAAACTTACATCTTTATTTAAATTATCTTGATTTCTATTTACAATCGATCTCATAACAAAAACATCTCTCCTTCATTTCCATA